AATTAAATGTATTGAGAAAAGAGAATTGAAAAAGTAAAGGGGGAAGTCAGAGGAGTAGTTGGGGTTATTGAGGTGCCCGATAATCCAATTCCAATTCCCATTAAATATTTTTGTCCAGTTTTTGTTATCAATCTCATTCAATTTTTTTGAATTCCCATTTCAGTTTAATTAAAAGCAAAAAAAAAAAATTTGAAAAAAATTTCTGAATTGTGTATGAAAATGAGGGACCCTCGTCTGCCGTGTTAACTTTTGGACAGTGCGAGGAATTCGAGGACATGACCACAACTCAAACACACACACTCTATCTCTCTCTCTCGTTTTTTATTTTTTATTTTTAAATTAATTTTAGCTTTTGGGTCTTTCTCTCTCTAAAAATGAGGTCAAAACGACAGAGAGGGTCTACCCTGGCTTTGCTACACTGTCTCATTCAAAGTTTGCCCAAACTGACACACACACCCATTCATCTATCTCAATAACCCTCTTCTTTTCACTTTCACCTAACACTAAATCTCCCATTCAAATTATGTTTTAAATACCAGTTTGTTACTCTTTTTTTTTTTAATTATATGTGAGTGTTCCGATCAGTTTGTACACAATTCAACTAATTTTGTAGGACAATTGATTATGTTGTTATGGGAAGATGAAGGTTTACGGGTCCAAGGCCTAACTAGGTTCAAGATATTGATCACGTTTGGGTGGAGACCTAGGGCCCAATCAGTTCTTAGCTGATCATGGTCCCGACCATAACCAAGTTTGAGTCGACTAGGTCTCTTTTCTTAATTTTTAAAAATGGAAACAATAACCTAGTTCAATTGGTTTAAAAACGAGTAACATTCGAATTATGTTTTAAATACTATTATAATTTTTTCTCTATAATCAACAAGTTTTCGAATCAATTTGTATGTAACTCGATTAATCTTACGAGATAAGCGATTGACCCTACGACAATTGATTATTAAGGGAACACAAATAGAAAATAAATTTCTAGGTAGGTGGTCATCATGAAGTTTGAACTCATCCCTTCAAAATCCTTTTTGATTTAGAAGTTGATAAGTCAACCCATGATGGTTAAATACCATTTTAGTATTTTGACCTATGTATTATTGAAACGTTCATTTTTGTTACTTTTAACTTGGTTTATTTTAGTTAGTTTATGTCCTTTAAAGTGATAACTTTAGTTTCTTCATTCTCATTTTTATCTTATTTCTTTCCATCATAATTTTAGAACCATATTTCGCTCTCTAAATTTCTTGAAATAAGTCATAGATTTGTATTATGATTTTATAAATAGAAATCAAATTAGCATTTTTTAAAAGACCAACGTACAAAATATAAAGACAAATATAATATTTAAATCTAAAGATCATAACGTTTGGGCTGAAAAGACGGCATCCTAATAGTTTTCAAAGTTGTGAGGACCAAAAAGAGAAGAAAGAAAATTGGAAAGTACTGCTACTGGTCATAATTCAAAAGCATATTGATGAGATGATGATGAAGGGAAATCTGGATTTTTAATTAATTAACTAATTAATTAGTTTTTTTTTTCTTTTTTTTTTTTTGCTTTATGGGTTGACAGAGACAAGCCATGGCCTCCTCACAAATCAAATGGCCTTCCATTCTGCCAAAAACCCAAAAGTGGGTTTTGGAATTCAAAAGCTAAAGTCTTAATTATTTCTTTTCCCCTTATCACGTGGGTCGGTTTTATTACCCTCTTTTTCCTTCTTATTTGCCTTTCAAAAATCTTTCTGGAATTATCTTCGGGTTTTGATCCATAATTACCCCCTTTTTCCTTTTCCTTCTTGTTTACACACGTACCTAAATTATTTCAACCCCAAATAATAATAATAATACAAAAAATTCCCCTCAAAGTTTGATTACCTGCTGGCAGATTGATTCGGGTAGATCGACTTAATTGGACTAGGTCTGGTGATCTAGCCTTTGAGTAATTTTCGATATTCCTACATTATAAAGACCCTCATTATAATTGTAATTAATACCAAGATATTAAAGCATTTAATTTTTTGAAAAAGAAAAAAAGGAAAAAAAAAAGGAAGAGAATTCAAATAATTTAGTGGGAGCGTACTGAGTAGTTGTAGCTTTCAGAGTCCAATCACACCACGTGATCTCTGCAAATGAAATCACAGCACACAAAGGGGGGGAGAAGAAGGGGTTTTCACTATTTCTGTTGCGTTGGAATTTTCTTAAAAAGTCAAGGCCCCCAAAAACTACCAATCATTTCATGTGAATTTCAATTCATTGCCTTTTACTGGGCTACAAATCTCAATTAATGCCTCATTTTGCACATTTAATTAATTGTCACAAATTTTGGAGGAGCAAAGAAAAATTATAATTGAAGTTTTTGTTTTCAATTAATGGATTGTAAAAAGATGTCGGAGAAGTTTTAGTGAGAAAGGGAGTGGAGGAAAAAGGTAGCTCCAAATTTCAACGCCTTTTAAAAGTGCCTTGAAATATGTGTTTTTTACAGCCACCACCAAATCAACCACATGTCAAAATCCCATCTTTAAAAATTTACCAATTTATCTCATATAAAATTTTAAAAAAAAAATCTAATAACTTTAGTTACCTGTAAATGTCGTATAAATTGGACCTATTATGTATTATTTCCTTCTTAAAATCTCTCGTACAATTGCTATGATGTCGTACTAAAAAAAAATGTAATGATATGAAAAATTTTCCATCACATTTCTTCTATATCAATAAAATTTAACGATGAAGTAGCAAAGTAAAAAACTATTCTGCCTCGTGAATGGTCTTTTTGTTTCTCATTTTACCTAATTAAAATTACATTAAATGACAAAAATATTATAGCCATTAAAAAAAAAAAACAATACTCTTCTTTTTTAAAAAAGCGTCACAACCTTGACTTTTTTTTTCCTACTCGTGATAGTTTTTTATAATTGTTATTCGGGTAAAATATTAAACTTTCTACACTATGTAAAAATATTTTTTTTTTCATTTTGCCATTCATGTAATTGTTCTGTTTTTTCGACGAGACAAGGGACAAAGGGAATCGGTCAAAATTAAAAATATGGATTCCATCCATCAATTTCAAATCAATTAAAAAGAAAATCAATTTAACTTTTTGTGTCAATTTGAATATTACTCAACTAATTAAAGCACATGTTCCGACCAAAAGGCGGTTGGTTCAAATCCTAGGCCCATATATTATCGTACTAAAAAAACTTCTTCAATATGTTAGACAATAACTCCCTATCCTTTTATAGTTAAATTTCTCGGTGTGAATCACAATCACTGACTTATTATAAGACGAATAATTAGAGCACTAAAGATTTTTTCATAACTTTTTTCTTTCCCTTTTTAAAAAATAAATGTGTTTCAATAAAAGGTTTTACCTAAACACGTAAATAATTACACGGAAAAGTACTTTTAATTTTTTGTTTGTAAGACTAAATTTATTTGGCACCATAAATTTTGCAAGTACTTTTGAAATCATAGAAAATATTAAAAAATAAAAAATAAAGTTTTTAAAACTCTTTTGTTTTGTCTTTTAAATGATAATCAAATTAGTTCTTCCTATCATAATTATTGACTATATAATAATTCAAATACTCAATTATTCACTTATAATAAAAATTATATCTCCTACAATAATTAAATAACTCAAATAATTGACAATAATTGAATTGAATTATGGGCAGATTTGATTTTTAGACTGCAAATACATGCTTCAAAGTCAATATATATATATATATATATATATATATATATATATATATATTAGAAAATATAGAGGTTATTGTCGTATAGTTGCAAATAGGAGACAATAATGTCCAAATTGACTAATTAATATTTACTTGAAATCCAAAAAAAAAAAATAAGTTGATAGTATTTTTATTTGTTTTGTAAAATAAAGTTCAAACGAAAATATGTTTGACTATCTAATTTTTAAAGCTACTTTTATTTTTAAAAATTTATTATTCAGTACAGTTTGCCTTGCTTTAGATGAATAATTGCCTCATAAATTTAAAAGAGAGATTTTAAAAAATGGAGGTACTGAGTTGAATCTGGGCTTTCTCAATGATTTTCTGTAGCTTTTGGGTTTTGGCCTCTCTCTATTGATTCCTAAATATTGGATATGAACAGAGTGGTTCTAGTTTGAGTTTTCATTCTAGTATTACACCCTTCATTAATTTTCATTATTTTTTATTCATAAATCCCATTTACCTTGTTATAGACCAATCTTCGTATTGTAATTTTCTCAGTTCTACTTTTCATTAAAAAAAGTTTAATTTTTTCATTCACATGCTATTAAATGAACAATGATTGTTGTAACCCCAAGTCAAAATTGACAAACAATAATAAAAATAAAAACAAAGGGAGACTTTAGTATGGTTTATAAAGTATGTTGTAGATTAGTTTAAAAAGCATTATTTGGTTGTCTTCTTTGGGTCAAGTTAGATTTCTGAGTCCTTTGTCTCAATAATTTGCCATTTTTGTATAGTTGTACCATTATGCCATATTAATTAACTTCCTTTCTCTTTCCTTTCCTGATGAAGTATTCACGATGCCAAGCTAGTATAGCTCAGCGACAATTTGTATATACCTTCAACTTCAACCATGAGGTTGTGAGTTCAATCCCCCACCTAACATGTTGTGCTAAAAAAAAAAGTCTTCACGGCAAATCCTTCCAATATCAAATATTATCAAACTCGTATATACTTTCTCTTTTAACCTGAATCTTTGACGTTAGTTATGCTAAAAGCTATAAAAGTATATGTTAAGTATCCGAAATGTGTAGATATTATTCTGGAAGTTGGCGTAAACAGAACACGCTCCATGGTGGAATTAGTCACTGGCTATAGGTTTCTTTCTGCATGCACCCTGAACCAAAAAGCTTCAAAGTCCCTGCTTTAGCAAGAGGGTCCTAGATCTATATATGAGGGAACACGAAATGGGCTTTGCATTTTCGAACATAGGTTTTCTTTAGTCCAAGTGTATATCTTGTTGGTCCCTATGTTTAAAGGGTCTTGGTGCTGAAGTTTTTAAAACAACCTTAGACCAAGGAAGTATATATATAGTTTAAAAAGCTCGTCGATCCAAATAAATCATTCTTTTGATCTCTCTTTTGTCCTCACCCCAAAATTGATCCACTTCTCCAAGTTCCACCCCTTATTGAAATCAAAAGTGCGCATGGAGAGAATGTATAAGCTTTCTTTAGCAACTAAAACATCTAAAACTGATCATTCTAACCCCAAGCCTTACATTTTGAGGCCTTCAGAATTCTCCACAACAGACATCCTCTTAAATCATATTTTGACTACTTATCTTGACCAAGCAAATATATAAATTTGATAACACTTTGTAGTCAACCCAACTCAAAGTTTCTAAAATGGAATTTATTAGGGAGCAATAGAGAGCCCAAAAGAACTTATCAAAATGAAAGAATAAAAGAAACTAACAAAACCAACAACCAAAATGAAATTGTAGGGATTCGTCTTCAATTCTTTGGATAAATTAAATGGGTTTTAGGTACTGATCCCATTATAATTTTCCACCTTTAAATCCTCGACACATGGACAGAAAACCAAGATTCTTGTAGACCCAAAAAGGGCAATGGCTGAGCCTTGACGGCATGGAACCTAATCCTTTGGGTCTTGTAGATGAAGTGAAGGAAGGTAAAGTGGCAGCTTTTAATTGTGTGTTTCGTCTCCAGCACACAACTATGACTTTGTTTGGGTTTAATTTGGTTTGCCACTCCGAGAATTAGGATTGGTCGTGTTTTGAAATCTTACCCCAAAGCAAAAACAGGATAAGTGATCAGAATATCACAAACCAAACCCGCCTGATACAAATAAAACAAACGTCATTCTCACACACACTCTCTCTCTCTTTCTCCCTCTCTGGAGCTGACAATTGGAGTGTGAAAGATTGGAGAGCAGAAGAGGCACGGCCTTGTGAAAATGAAAGCTTGGGGAACAATTACATTACATATGATATATATATACTTCAACCATTGACGTCGAACGACTTAATTAGGGTCTTTATATAAGCCAGGAGAGAGAGAACTTTTTCTCAGTGTTTTTGTATTTTTAGGATTTTTGTGTTGCCCAGTTTGCCACCTGTGCTAACAAGCCACCTCTCTATATTATCATATATGGTATGATATTATCTATTTGGGACTCAAACTCTCATGGCTTAAGCCTCGAAGCTGAACTTTTGGTTTCACCTAAAAAGTCTTGTGTCAATAAAGATGGTTGTTCTCATTTATATACTACGTGGATCATCTCTTATGTAGTTAATATAGGACTTTGATCACACTCCGAACAAAAGTTTTATACCAATAACAGATGTATTGTCCTCAATTTTGTACCCATGACTCCTTGTATAGTCAACCTAGAACTTTGATCTTATTCCCTACACAACTCACCAAAAATTGTATATCTATATAAGTTGAGGTTTAGTTAGAAATAAGTTGAAGTTTCGTCAAAATCCGAGAATAATTATTGGAATCTAACCGACAATGTTGGGCAAAAGAGGTGTGAAGACTGAAGAGTAAGGATTTTAGAGGTACAGAGACCGTAGACAGGAGCGGGGTAGGGCAACGACAACTATTTTATTCTCACGTGGTATACCACGATGCAATTGAGCTATGTGCCACGACCAGAACTGAAGGTTAAACGTATGAATTGAGGGCTCCTACGAGTCCTTTTTGGTGCAGTAGTGACTAGTGAGCAATCGGTGGGACATTTTAGCAAGGTGAGGTACAATTTTAAGAGATTTTGTATCTCTTGTCAACTTCATCTTCATACTGAAACATGTAAAAATATTGTTGAAATGTACCTATTTAAGAATGAATATCTATAAATTCCAATAACTATTTTGTTCAACGTAAATAATGAGTCTAGAAAGAATGAATTCAAACTAGGGTGGTCAATTATTTTATTCAAAAAATCTATCTTCTATCACTCTCATATTATAAAAGAGAATTTAAGCAACCCCTTTAAATTCTCAACATATCACTTATATGTCGACCTCCATTTCACACACATCAGATTCCAGTAAGGATGATGTCAATTTTATTTGACAAAAATGTACAAGAATTGGGGTTAGTTGCATTTGTCGATTTTGAACTATTTCACAATTTTTTAATAAGTTATAAACAAGCTATATCAAGTTGATGTAAAAAATCTTTACCATGATGTGGAAAACAAGACAATTAAATTACTTTCCTATATGCGAACTAATACATGTAATTGAGTTAATAAGAATTGCACAGTAAATAGTACATTTATATATGCTCAATTTCAATTCCCAACTGTATTATTTCAAGGGAAATAAAGAATGATTTGATCCATTTCAGAGAACCTTAAGCATAAGGGTAGTAAGCCTATATACAAAATTTAGTTCTTTATGTTTGTGTTTTTTTAATTGATACATAATCTTTTAAAAATTTTAATTTGGTCTTTTACGTGCATTAAATTTTTAATCATTTTTTATAAACATATTCATCACAAACAATAGGTGTAAAAATTTAAACCTACAAACATTTAGTAAAGAAGTAAATGTCTTATCTATTGAGCTATACTTGATTTACTTATCAATCAAGTTTTAATTCTTATTAAACATTAAAAGAAATGGAAATACCTAATCACAAGTCCAATTATAAAAGGCAAAAAGCATATACCATATAGTAGTTGATTTTTTTTTATTAAATAAGTTAATTTGCACAAACTATTATGAAAGGTAATATTGAATGAAAAATTAAAGATTTTTAGACTATTCCTTTTCTCCAAACAATAGACTTCTTCTTACCATTTAACGTAATGAACATACATAATTTTATGTTTTAGCTCTATTTTAAAGATCCCGTATCAATGAAGATATTTTCTAATGCTAATATGTTTGAATTTTTTTTACTTCTAACAACTCTATTCACATCCCGACGTCAAAACCTAGTGGTACAAGGAAGAAAAAAAGAAGAAAAAGAATAAAAACGTTGTTTTAACTTTTAACCAAAATCAGAGTAGTAAAGTTTGATATTAGAAAATCTGCGATATTTTTATTTCATTTCAAAAGGAACGGCGGAAATCGTTCCACGTGGCGAGTACCCAGAGGTTGCTTAAGGGAAAGAAGAAAAACAGACACCTTCCTGCACTTGAGTAAATTTATTACCTTACACGACTCGGAAGCTGATAAAGCAAGACCCCGAAACGTGTCCAATTATTGGACGATGGCTTGCCACTCAGCCACTCACCGTCCGCCACGTCGGCTGACAATAAAATCGATAGACGACATGCCAGGACGCTAAGTTTGACTTTGGGGCATGTGGCGACACGCTATTGGCTGTCGAGTGACAGGTAAGGGGTACTTGTCCTTTGGCAACTGATCTTATTGGCTATTCATTTAGTATTATTATTATTTTTATTTATATTCCAAAAACTTATTGAATATTAAAGAAACTAGAAAAGCTAAAGTGGGGTACCATGCTATGGTGACTCAACCTAATCCTAGTATTATTCTTGCTTTATTTTCCCACAAATTACAAAACTTTGTAACCAAATTTACAAAATACAAAATTAAATAATATTGAGGGAAAAAATAATTCTGAGTTAGTCAAGATGAAGCCAATTATGCACTGAAAATAAATATTTTTAATTTGTTAATTTTTTAATGGTTTTCAAATAAATAGCATTTCAATATATTAATATTAAAATATAAGTGTGATGGAGAGGATGTGATTCATGCAGTTGATATTAATATATTATATAGCTATGGACCAAACTTAAATAAATAAGATAGACAAAGATTATTTATTTGTTTAATAAAATATTCATGTTTAAAATTTCAAAAAAAAAGGAAAGAAAATATTTTAATTGCTATGCTCCATTTTCATTTCCTTTCYTTAAACACGACTAAATCATCAATGAACCCAAAAAATTTAAGTTTATGGACTGGACAAATGTAATTCATGTGCTTTAGTATTTTTCAATATTTGATAATTTTATTGTTGTTTTTAATTTATCATAAATATAGGAGGGAGGATTTTAAACCTTCAATTAAAAAAACATGAAAAAAGAAGTCATTGGTTTTTCCCCACAAACTGGCAACTTCATGCTCAAATTTAAAGGGAAAAAAAATCCCCCTTGTTTAAATAATCAGCTGTTTTAAGCTAAACATGTTCACCCCTTTTCGGTTAACATATGATTTTTATTAACTTTTAATTGTAGTTTCGTTTCAAAATTTTAGTTTCTATTCATCCCTGAAATATGGAAAATATAGTTGATGTTTGGAGTGAAATAACAAAAACTGTTATTTCCATTGTGGCTCCGTCTTAGAATAAGATTCATAAAGAATAAAGATTCACACTTTTATTATTTACATTTTCTGTAATATTATTCAATACCTAAAACTAGTGATTTTTTTTTTTTTGAAACAATCCTAAAACTAGTGATTTGTATTTAATGTATATATCAATTAACGCATATTTTATTAATACTTTTAAATCACTTATTAATATTATTTTTTCTAAAAATTACTTTTAAGTATTTATTTTTCCTTAAGATTTAACTAAATAATTTGCAAATAGAAATGTTTTGCAACCAATCCAAGAATTATTAAATCTACCATCAAAATCAGACTAAGCAATAAAATACCTCACGTGTTTCCTCTGCCTCAAGTTGTCTGGCATCCATCCAGTCTACAGCTTTGCCTCAACTACATAGCCAAATATAGTAAAAATAATGGTAAATATTTTTAATTAGAAGCAATGCAAAATATATTCTCAAACAAATTTGCAAAAACACACTTCATTCCATTCACAAAACTAATCAGATTTAATTTTTCTAAAAAAAAAAAAGATAAATCACATATCCATCCTCAACCATCACACGGTTCCTAGTCTCCATCCCCTTGTTCTTATCTGCAAACGTAAGACTTCTAGAAACCTTGGTGAGAAATATAAGTGGATGAACAGATGGAAATTGAAAATATAAGATTCATATGAGAAGGGGGAGATGGTTATTTTTTTTACCATTCATGCNCATCCCGACTGTCGACGCCATTCACAAGTTCCTCTCTCTACGAAAGAACAAAAAAAATCAAATTCATTGACCTAGATTTTGCCGGAAGTAGGAAATAATGGGGAGAGAGAAAATAGATGTGGGTTGTGCAATTTACCCTATTTATTTGTTATATTATGACTTATTAATAATTTTAATGAGTTATGATATATTCATAATTAATGAGAGAAATATAATTTTACATTTAAATGAAATATATTATTAATATTTTCAATTAACTCAATAAAATTTTGTCTATTCTTTGGAAGAGCTTTGGTTAATTACGAAGGAATGAGTTCAAATCTCATAATGACCACCTACTTAAAAAATTAGTAATTCCTATATTTTTTCGGGAAATTGTATTGGGTAGCTAAACTTTTATACATATTTACAAAAATGTCAACCACTTTTGTATTTTGCAAATATGACAAAATATTTGAATTTTTATTTTCGGAATTTTAATTATTCTAGTTTTACCCTTATGATATCTGATATACGCCTGATGGATGTATATCTGATATACGCCCGATAGATGTATAAACATACCATCTTTTTTAGCCACGCTCCTCGCCGACGCACCAAGTTCATGGAAGTATATGAACTTGTCAATGTTCGCGACAAACCAAAAGATGAGTCCTCCTTGAATGACGGTTCATGGAGGTAGATCACCAACCCCATAATGAAGGTTTGGTTATAACTGCGATGATTGTCAATGCCAAGGTTCATTAGGTTCGGTCGATGGGGACGCATCCACGAATATTCTTCTAGTTAGCACTTTCGATGCCCTTTGGTGGACAAGGGACAAATTGAGGAGGTGCGCGACACTAGTGGTTCTCAGAGAAGGATTGAACTGGATCATGCACATGGAAGACTTCGTGATAGCTGAGTGCCCTCAGTCTACAACATCAACCTCGGATGTCCGACAATCCATGCACTTGAGGTCGTCCCGTGTACCTATCATCAAATGATTAAGTTTCATGGTATTAAGGGTACAAGAATTGTCAAAGGTGAACATTGATCTTCCTGGAACTGTTATGTGTTGGCCTTGAAAGAGTTTGCTAAAGGGATCGAATCTCACAGCGGAAGTGCATAAACGCTTGTGTTTCGATTTTATTTTAGAAATACAACAAAGAAAAGACATAAGAATTATAAAAAAGAAGTAGAGAAACCTTCCTTTGAAGACCGTTCTTCAACGAAGATGCCACCAAAAAGCCTTCCCCACTATTCTCTTGGCAAGGACCGGTTTGTGGGACCCTTATTTTGAAAGTGAGGAAAATAGTGATTTGAGAGAGAGCTAAGTTTGAGAGAGTATGATTTTGTGCCAAAATCACTAAAACCATTAACCATTTCAAAATTCAATTGAATGCATTTATAGAAATATGGAGGGGTGGGGAGGAGTGAGGAGGAAGGAGTAACCTCCCCACTCACACCGTTCACATTTCGTTGCAAAATGCATGTGTTATTTAATTAAGTTAAATCAAAATATATTTAATTAATTAATTAATTAATTAATTAATCTAATTAATTAATTAACTTTAATTAAATGTCACATATTTAATTAATATTTTATTTTAATCATATTCAAATATCTCTCTCATGACTTATAGTTTTAATGTGAATCTCATATTATACTTTGGGATTATGGTAGTGAGAATTATCATTAAAAAAGATTTTGTGACACTACAATGTCATTGGAAAAACTTTCGATGACGTTCAAACGCGTCACCCTACCGTACAATTTTTTTTCCTTTTTCTTGACGGTGAGATATATACTTTCATTTAGACAATTGTGAGACAAAAATGTCATCAGTAATATAATCTTTACAGTTAAACACTGGCATGCATTAATTATCAACTTTTTCCAAAACAAAAATATCAGACATTCGCATCAGTCACATAATCTTTACAGTTAAACACTGGCATGCATTAATTATCAACAATTTCCAAAACAAAAATATCAGACATTCGCATCAGTCACTGCATAAATTAATTACTGATTTACCCAGATAAACTTTAATATATAGATCAATTAGAGATTTACTGAGATTATAGTTTATTAATACATTGATTACCACTCCCTTTCTACAATGATAATCGGTGGATCCCAAACTCCTTCAACTCTTCGTCTATTTTAGCTTTTAAATTTTCAAGAATAACTATTTAGTCCCTACATTTAGAAAATGAATTTTTTAGTTCTTTGTTATTCTTTTGCCACCTAATCCCTTCTGCCAATTATTGGTATTAATATACGAGCACATCAACACATTTAAATTAAACATACTATCTATTTGTTAAAAGAAAAATAAAGTTAGGGATAAAAATGACTATGATATTTGTAGTTTTGGAATCACAAAATATATTTAGAAAATTTTATACCTAGAGATAAACCTGAATATGTTGAAACTTCTAAGTAAGAAATAGAACCAACTTAAAAATTTAGAGATCAACATTTAAATTAAAAAATTGTACATTTTGGCTTAATTTTGTATGAGTTTCTTCTTTTTAATATAAAAATATTACATTATTGTAGGGTAAATTTTCAAGAGAAAGTTATGTTCAGATTGACTTAATTTTTTATTTTTTTTTTATATTTTGGTAGAGTAGAAAGGTTTGGAATGACTTTAATTGTTACACTTCACATCCACAATCTACCAAATGTTAAAAGGTGAATCATTAGTGTGCGTCAATCATTGAAGCATCATATCGTAGAAAGTTGGTCATATGATTTCAACATGTTTTGAAGATATAATTTTGAAATTGGATAAGTTTTATGAAAAATATAATGCTTTGGAAATCGAAATATTTGTTTTATAGGGAGAATTTGTCCAAATTCATTTCCTCCTAGATCCATGTGTTCGAGATCAGCATGTACCTTTCCACAAAAAAAAAAAGAAGAAGAAAAAATGGAAAAGAAATAATAAATGATTACCTTCCACAGCCAAGAAAGAAATTCCCTCTTTCTGTCAAGGACCCCACAAGACTTGGATATATATGATGCATAAAATAAATGAGCAAATATATTAGAGTTATTCCAAATCATACGCTCTCGCAACACCTAGTTTTGAAATAAATCCTTCGTGGAGACCAAACTGAATCTTGATCAGCATGCTAAATGATGAGGCCGAATATTCTCCTCCAGCATCCATGGCAGAGGCTTTGGCCACGAGAAAGAAGAGCATGAACAGAAGGAGGTTCAGCGAAGAACAGATCAAATCACTGGAGTCAATTTTCGAGTCTGAGTCACGGCTTGAACCCAGAAAGAAGTTGCAGCTGGCCGGAGAGCTGGGACTGCACCCGCGCCAGGTTGCAATATGGTTTCAGAACAAGAGAGCTAGATGGAAGTCAAAGCAGCTTGAACGAGACTACACCCTTCTACGAGCTAATTACAACAATTTGGCTTCCCGGTTTGAAGCTCTCAAGAAGGAAAAGCAAGCTTTGAATATACAGGTATTTGTTCCTTGCATCTCTAGAATGGCCTAAAATGGGACAGGCCGTTAAGGATCCGATGAAACGAAAAGGGGATCTTATAAAAGTTTATGATAGACATGGCTATTCCTCTCGTTGTCAATTGATTTTGAGATGGAATTCCATGAATATCAACGATTTTGAGATGGAATTCCAAATATTGATATAGGCTGTTATTTTAGATGCTATGCTAATAGCTGTTATCTCTTTTAATTTGGTCAGTTTCAGAAGCTAAATGATCTCGTGCAGAGGTCCATGGAGGAAACTGAAAGTTGCAGGGGGGGTCTCTCCGTAGAAACCATTGATGGAAAATCTGAAAACGGCCACAGAGTCAAGTATGAGTCTGAAGTAAAACCTAGTGTGTCAGCTGAGGAACTCGAGAAATCAGAACATGAACTAGAGGTTCTTTCCAACTATGGTAGTGGCATAAAGGAAGACTATATTGGATTGGAAGAGCCTCAGCTCAGGGAACCTGCTCAAGGCTCCTTGACATCATCAACACCAAATTGGAACAATTTAGACTCTGAGGGTCTTTTCAGTCAGTCCAATACCAGCGGCCAATGGTGGGACTTCTGGTCTTGAAAAGTAAAAGCACTCAAAGAAAGTATAGAGGAAATGTAAACAAATAAAATTCCTATTTCTAATAGATCATCCTAGAAATGATTTCAGCTCACAGGACGAGGAAATTTTCAGAAAATATGGCTTCTATCAAGTTAAAAAAGGATAGCAATGGCTCTGAAGTAGATGGTTCAAGCACTGATGCTCCAAATTCACCATAACTGCAGATGGAAGTCAGAAAATGTTGTGTGTATAACCGAAAAATTCGATGAGCAACTCTAGGAAATAGCGAACCTACAAAGAGTGGTGCCTTGGAAAACTGAAACAATTTGCTCAGCTTCATATGCAGACAAGGATGCAGTCTGGATTGTTTCCTGTGTACGAGTTTTTCTTCTTGTTCCCGTTTTTCTGTCTGGTTGGTTTAGTTATGCTCTAGTTCTCATTTTACACAAAAACAATCTCAGATTTTTCGTGCTCCTTTAGCATCGTGTCATCTGACAAAAAATTTAATCCATCATATAAAGAAATCGAAGGAATAATGTCAGTAAAAGAGATTTTTAATGCTCGAAATTTAAATAATGGAGATTAGTCCTCTGCTGAGAGTAGCTAAAGTCTGTCCATCTTTTTGATCGGAGAATCTTCCAGAGATCTTTTGATCATGTAAATGAATCAAGTAATAGCAAGTAATTTAACTTATCTTCACATTCGGCCACCTGAGAACATAAGGCATAGGTAGCTAAAAGCAACTAAACATTTTTGAGACACTAAGGTGGATAACTTTATCATTTTATCTTGTCAGACTCCTCTAATTCCGTCCCTCTTGATATTTCCAAATATTAAAACACAGTATCGTCTTAAATAAACTTCTAAAAACTGAAACTTTGTACTATACAAAGCAAATATGAGAACAACCAAACCACTTTAGGGCCTGCTGATCTGACGGAGATTCCATTTTGGCAGTGAACTAAACATTACAAAATCCTAGTCAGCGAAGGCTAGTAAATGCCAAACACTTTAAGGAATATGAGATGTGGAACTCCAATTTTCATAATTTTCAAATCATGAAATCAGCCTTGTTTTCTTTCAACACGATGAACATTACCCTTGTACTTGATTTTGCTAGTACACCCTTGTCCCTTGTACTTTATGATTTTGCTAATACACTTCATCTAGTTCCGAATTTTCTAGCCCTCGTCTATAATAACCTGTCCAAATTTATCCCTCCATCCACGTCAACTGTGTTATTATTTATGAGCACACATGATTCCTGCACTGGAAACATTTTTTTTTTCTATTTTATGCATATTATTCCCCTTTCTTCACTTTCAACTAGCTAACTTCATGTTAACTATAGATAAGGTAAGAATGTAAATTTTACAATATTGAGAGAAAAAAATATAATAACTCATGTTTTTGAAAAACCAAACGCAAAAGTAAGATCTTGAAACAAAGTTCTCTGAATCTTGAAAATTGGATAAATTTTAAAAAAATTTATAATAACGTTACACATAAGGAAATAACTCATTCTAAAAAAAAAAGTGTCTTCTAAAACTATACCTTTTCCTTTTGGCTTTCCTTTTTCCTTCCCTCCTATCTTCCTTTTCTCCTCGTTCTCTCCAATCCCATTCCTCCCCCACCCCACCCCACCAATCTATATCTCTTAACTTTCCTTCCCTTTTTCCTGCACCACTCTACTTCAATCTCTATCAAGCTAGTCATGTCCACTGCTAAGTTATACTATGTAACCAAAAAATAGTGACAGCACAACAGAAATTTTGAAGTGACAAAGAACAAAGAAACAATTATTTCAGTTCGGAAAAGCAGTAGTCCAGCTGCATTGCTGCTGCTAGAAGCTACAAACTAACCTATAAAGAAAAGAAATAGAGAGTCAAGTTCATCTAGAAGTTGGTTATATCATGGCTATACGCATGCGCATATCATCACGGGAGGAGGACAAGCTAAAACAATAACCGTAGAGTGATACTTAATAAAGTCATAAGTACTACTTCAATACAAACTCCTGGATCTAATACAAGCAGAGTCAAATCAATCTGATAACAGGAAAATATGTTGATAGGATATTAATAAACTATGACCTACGACTTGAGAGCTGTAAATAATATCTGCAAGTTTTATGCATTGATTAACTTAATTACTACTTCCCCGTTCCATGATTCGTCCAAAAAGGTAGACTATTTCCAAGAGCTTATGCATGATCCTGATTACACATCTTTAGAATTCAATTTACAATATAATAAGCCCAGAACACTTCACAAGAAAGTAGGCATCCTCATAATTTCTTCTGTTCCTTTTTAGTACGATTCAGGCTTCAAGATGGATATTTTCTTTCTTCTTGGGTCATAATTGGAAAACAAGCTGTCTCTATTCATTTTTTGCCCAATATATATAAGACTTCAAAGACTAGCAGAAATCTACGAAAAACAGAATATCTTTCTGTGTACATTAGAATGGAGAATTATTTTGACTTCAACCTTTCACAGGCACCCGTCTATACTTTCTTCATTTTCAGTTTTCAGAAGAGAAAGGGAGGAGAGAAAATTCAAAATAGATAAGGCATTTAGAATTTAGCAAGAATAACAGGTAGAATTCATTCAATGCGCATTTAATGTGATAAGTCCTGGACAATGTCAAGTGGTACAGAAATATTAAGTGTTCTGTTCACTGCCAACCTATCCACAACAAATTTCAACGAATGCTCACTGCTCACCACAATTTCTAAGGATCACGGAGAAACTCAACGAAGGCAGAATTTATCACAGTACTGAGTTTAATTCTAGGACGAATTAAATGCTACATTCATGGCAAAGATTCCAGTCCCCCAAACTATGCGAAGAATGGAAACCTAAATCGTCAATAGCTTGCTTAAATCCTAGCATTTTGCTCAGATTCTAAGAAGATTCCGAAGTAAAATCATCGCAGTAACAACGATTAGACATTAACTCAATCGGTATTCGTTAGAGAAATTTAAACTTCATGGTCTAAAACTTGAATTGAACTTCAAAATGGTGAAAGAGGAGGATCAAACCTGCGCATTCGGGACTTCTTTCAATGTGAGGAACAGGAGGCGCCGAGCCGAATGTCTATGATTTCCCGCTGTAATTGGCTGTACAAATCGGCGGTTTTAAAATTTGTCCTGAAATAGACCATCGTTGCCAAAATCGAAATATTCTTCATTCTCTCTTCTTTTATTCACCAAAAAAAATCATTTTCAATTATTTTAATAATACTGTAAACCCTATATTAAGTTTAAAATGATTTATTTGTTCTGTTTTTTTTTTATATATAAACTCTGATATATTTAATTTAACAAATTATAGTACTCTCTTTTTAAAATATAAAATAAGACCGAAATATAGACTTCAAAACTATAATCGGAGTAAGAGAACCTAAAATTTTATATTTTAGGTTGAATTCTCTTTTCATTGTGGCTCATTGGTTAGGGATTGGTTTCAAATTTTTCTTCATAATTTTAAGTGAGTGATTGGTCAGTGAAGTTCAATGATTTCAAGAGATCAAACCATGGATTTTATAGAGAGCTATATTTCGGATTGACTTGACTACTTAACAATTACCAGGGCTTTCATATTTGCCTTTAATTTTTATAAACCACACATGCTGATGTTTTCGTCGTTTATCTGCGACAACTATGTTAATTTTCATCATTTGTTTTAATGGTCAAACTGTTTAGAAGCACACTTTAATTATTTTCAATTGTCAAATAAATTTTTTTAATGAATTTACATATACAAAATTTTCAAAATTATATAAATATAGTTAAAACCAATCTTATAATTCATATATGACCATTTTGAATTAATAGTATTTGGATGTTGTATCTCGGTAATTAGATTCCTATCGACCACAATGAAAAAGTTGATAAGTTGTTTATTTTTGGCGAAACAAATAATCTATAGGCTCAATTTTATTGTTTGTATTTATCTCTCTTCGTTGTAAAAAACATAATGGTGCTTAGTAAATGATAGTCATTGACCACTCAACACTTAAATAAATATATATATATATATATATATATATATTTTTGTAATTTATCTAGAAGAGAACCATACTATTTATCTTCTGCTAACCACCGTGCTATTTTTACCATTAGAAGAAAAACGTCAACATGAACTTAGTTGAACAATAATGAATATTTGTCTCTAATTAAAATGTCATGAATTCAAATCCTCTCACCCCACTCATTGTACTTAAAAAAATATCTCTATAATTTTATTGAAGTGACAGTAATTTTAGATTAATAACAATTTAGTCTTTATTTTTTATTTTTTTATAAAAGACAACACCGTATTAAAAAGAAATAAGACTCAAGGGTTACATTAGAAAAGTGGTAACGTCCCACAATCAAAATATCGTTTGTGTATTTTGATGGTAACAATTTAGTAGGTAAACTTTAGTGTATAATAATTTAATTCGTATAGTTTAAAGTTTGTAATTATTTTTCTACTGTATAGTTTTTATATATTAAGATAGACACTTAATATATACCTTCCAATCAATCGATACTGTGACTTGGAATCCACTGCTAAGGTTGTACTAAAAAAACCATCGCTAAGTATCGAGACGAACGGGTTTGACCAATGACCATAGCACCAATGAACTGCTCTGCGTCTCGCTTCGGCAGACGACTCTGTTGCGGAAAGCGGTGGTTTCCCATAGAGACAGCGAGAGAGAACAGAAGGGGCGAGTAATGAACGACCTCTCCATCTCCAATGCAGCCGTAAGAGAACCCAGAGACGACCATTACAGCGCCTGCAAACCCATTCCTTCAGCAGCACTTTACATTCTCATTCCCCTTTTCATTTTGGGATTTTCCGTCTCCATTTTCGTTCTCGTCGTCGTCCACAACGCCTTCTTCTTCCTCTCTCTTCTCCTTCTATCCATCCTTCTCTCCGCTTTCGCCCTCTGGAATAACCTCGACTCCTCCTCCACCGCCGCCGCGCTCTCCTTTCTCCACTCTTTTCCCGACTCCGACCTCCCACTTGCTCGCGAAGGTCAACTCGTTAAGATTACAGGGGTATACACCTTCTCTTCAACTGCATTTGCTGTTATTAGCTGAATGGCTAAGGCTTGAGAGTTAGGACTATGATTTATTTCTGCATATTTTTGCTTCCCTTTTCAGCAATCGGGATGAGAGCCTCTGTAAAAGTTTCTGTTCTCTAAATTGTGCTTTATTTTTTATGTGTTTGAGTAGCCAATGCTCTGTGGAGGGCATTAATTGTCAGTAGTATCCTAAGAAGACTTCCTAGGGATTATGTCGAGAATTTAGGTAAGAATAAGTGAAGTTTCATTTGAGTATGATACGAGGAAGGCAGTTTCTAGCACTTTGATTGAATAACTTTATGTGTTTAATGTTTTTACATCTGTAACATGCTTGTATTGTCTTGCCGAGGGGTAATCTAGTTGGCAAGGGTGCGACGTCTCTTGGTCATACTGGTTCAGATGTCTCAAATTCGAACTTTCTGATTGAGCTTAATACAAAAAACTTTTGATGTGTTTGGGGACCGGGCCTTGGGGCGGACACAGGTGCCCCTGGTATAGGGGAGCAAAATTTCGACTGCTTGTATTGTCTTATCGCATTAATATTTTAGAAATTCAATTATTTTCACATACTTAGGGTGAGTTTGGATAGAAATGTTAAAAAGTGTTTGTAGCTCCCAAAGCCATTTTGATAATCCTAAAATACTTTGAAGTGATTTTCAAAGAATTGCTTCTTTCTTGAAAGTGTTTATGGGCTTTCGTTCAAAATCAATCTTATGAGAAGTAATTTCAAACTCACTGTTACCTGTTTTGGAATTTGATTTGTTCTTGCTGATTTTTTATATTCAGTTTGCTTCGTGTGGGGCTGTCTCCCTGGAATCGTCATATGAAAAGGCTACTGGATGTATTTATGCATCCACTTCTTTATATGAATGTAGAGGAATATCTCTGATTTCTCAGAAGATCACACCTTACTGTGGTTGGAGGTTAGGATATAGTGAGGTACGCAAATTCTCCCCCAGAATAAACCTTTCATTTCTTTGTTTTTAATGTTCTTTTGCAACTGCAAAGCAATGGAGGTATTGTTTTTTCTCCTTTTGAATTTTCTGCATACTTTTTCTTTTCCTCGCTCAGTAGGCTAGGTTACTTTATGTTATTTCGAAGCTACTTGATGATGTGAAGGAAATGACATTTAGCTCCATTTTCATTTATGGGTTAAATGACTCCAGTTGTATTCATGATCTTGACATCCTTATCTGCTCATGGTTGGGATGTAAATATCAGTTTTCTTTTTTCCATCATTGACCTTTTAGGATGTAGAGTTCCAATCTGAAGAATAAAAGTTGGTAGGATTAGGTGAAGATCTCCAAACTTGCTTGCTGCTGTTCGTTTTTCAAAAGCCCTTGGTATCATACTGCGGAAACAACTTTTAACATATAAAGTTGCACCACAAATCTTTAAACGTTAAACAACCATACTTCAATGCAGCTAATTTTTATGAGGCCATCATCAATTCAATTTTTATCCTTCCATTCTAAAGCTAGCAAGTTGTTCTTGAAGTTAATATTTGTACTTCCCATCTCATGCATCAATGATTCAAAGATATACCTTGGTTTCTTGATATCATTTTTCTTTTCTGACATCTAACATGAGGCAGGAATGGGAATTGACTATCTATTCCAATTTGGACATGTAGATAGATTTCAACCGTCAGTTTTTTTTTTTTTTTAACTTGGGTATGTATTTTAGATTTTTAATATCGCTGTACTTGTATTTCTACCTGGCAGAGGTTCTCCACTGACTTTTACATAACTGATAGAAAAACTGGTATTAGAGCTATGGTAAGGGCCGGACCCGGTAGTAAACTGGTTCCTCTTATTATTGAGAGCAAGCTTGTCAATACTACTAGACACCGCAAGATTCTGTCTCCTTCCTTGAGAAAATGGCTAAGAGACAGAAACCTTTCTACTGAAGCCCGGATGCTTCGACTCGAAGAAGGGTAACCGCTTGCCATGATGATACCTCTAATTAGCTTTAACTATGCTTGGCCATAATTTAGTAGCTAATTCCATGTAATTTTAGCAGATATGTTCAGGAAGGCAGCTTTGTCTCTGTAATGGGAATGTTGCATAAGAATAACGGTCATCTAACAATAGTTCAACCTCCAGACATAATCTCTACTGGGTGTGTATGGCGAAAACTTCTTCTCCCCATTGACATTGATGGACTAGTTCTCGGGGTCTCGCAGATAACTGGCCCTTCGATCGGTCAAAGATCATTACATCACCCAGAACAGTTGGCTGACATTTAAAACTTGAAACTGTATGGTGTAGATGGAAATTTTGGATGAGAAGTTCAGTCCACTAGAATTCTTAACCTTTTCTTATTATTGTTGATTTTGATCTTCTTTTAGTTCATCTACCTCTGTTCCTTCAGTTTGCAGAGTTACATTTGCTTGTCCAAAGGTCTCTCTGAACTTAAAATTCTAGATGAATATATACATTGATTAATTGTACGGAAATCAACCACCTTTGCTTTAATTGCATTTGCTAACCACTTAGAGACTAGGGAGCAAGTTGAGTAAAGGCTCAATGGTTCTTCTATACAACAATTACTTGACTTGAAACATTAGGAAGTTGATCTTCGACTATTCTGGTTAATTAGCRTCGGTTCAATCGGTCTCTTTTGATTTCTGAAAATGTCCGATTTTTTGATTCACCATTCTATTTAAGTTAAAATTGATCCTGTTAGGGATGTGATCAAATCCTATATTGATTTGAAATGTGAGAGGTTGTGAGTTTATATGTAAGGACAATGTCGATACTAATTTGAGATCTTTTGGATTAAGATTAAGTGAAGGAGATATAATAAAAAGGACCTGTTGTCTTGATGCTCCAAACTCCATGAAGATGAAACCAATTACCAAACAAAAAGTGGGGATCTTCAGATACTTGGTCTTGTTATAAGTTAAAGGAGATCATGAGTTTATTAGAATAATGTCTCTATAGATTTTTTATTTTTGAATAAAATTCAAAAATAAATTTATGCTAACGTAAGTTTAAAAAGTTTAGAACCAACTTCATTTACCAGGGAAGATTGTGATTAGAAAAGGAAAGTAGTTTAATCAGTTTTTGATAGCTTTATCTCCATCATTATCAGTAACCATGATTGTCATTCTCGTGTCAATATTAAATCACTACTAAATTCCTTCGACAAGAGTGAATGGTGTTGAATCATGCACCAGACGGAATTTAAAGTGGGATTGTGAATGAAACCAGGATACAAATGAACTGTTTATAAAATCTCTACTAAGAATTTAGCAACAGGGCAGTGGGAGAGAAACCTAGATAACACAGAATGTCTTCAATAAAAATTGAAAAAGATTGTCTAGACAGCTCAGGCTTATTGCAGAACTCAATGCATCTCATCTACGGTTCGATTAATCTGATTACTGTTTTTTGCCATAGAATTGCATATAAAATGCAACACCTATAAGCAGCAGGGGAATCAGAAATTGCAGTAGTTTTAGTGAAGATCCTGAAGATTGAGCCGATGCAAGAGTCGTTGCTGATTGCGATGCAGGTGGTCGGTAATCGATTGGCTTTGGAACAGTAGACATGTCAACGTTGCCAACATAATATTGTTCCATTTGGTCTATGGCAGATAGACTGTGACCCACATTTTCAAAATCATCAGTTGCATCTTTTTCTGCATAAATTCAAGATTGTTTTTCCAATCATTCACAAGTTGGTGCAGTCATATTTGTTGGATATATTTAAATGCAGTAACAAGTAATCAAGATGGAGAGACAAAAAATGATGAGCTGCAAAACTTACCAGAAGCTAATATCAAGACTTCATCACCTCCAGGATGTTCTTCCAGAAAAGGGGTGACATCATATACCTAACATGGGTAATGTACTCAAATTTACTTTGGGGCAAACCAATTAAACACATCAACAATATTAATGAATAGAGGAAGAAAATATATAAACCCCTAAACCGAACACCAAAAGAGTCCCAATAAAACTTAGATCCACGACTTCATTCGACTCCTACAATGTGTCTCACTAACCATTTCCAAGTTCCATGGTTGAAACTTGGAAGTAGAAATGAGAGCCCCAATAATTTTTAACATAGAACAGGGAATCCCATCAATACATAAATCTTTTTGAAGTTCTACTTAGAACCTGTTGGTTGAAAGTTCTAAGATATATTCCTCAAGCACTACTCTCTGTTGGTTGAAAGTTCTAAGATATATTCCTCAAGCACTACTCTCTATTCCTACCCTAGTTGCAAACTTACATTACCAAAGTTTTTCCTTAACAAGTGTTTGCCAAACGAGTTCTACGAAATGCATTTCACATCTGCATAGGATTATATGATGTTCTAGTACGACATATATCAGTTGCTCCAGAATTAAAGGAAATAGGTTTACATAGTCCTGACTAACATCAATCAGCTGCAGCTGAGCTTTCCTGTGCATTCAGTTTCTACCTATCATAAACAATTTGCCCCCAGTTCCAAGTATTTGACTAGAAAACTTGTGTCTCATGATCTTCTTTGGAACCCGTAGTAGCTACCTACCTAGAATAAAATTCTACTACAAGTTTCAAACTGTTATCCCACAAGATTGAGGGCCAATTCAAAGACAAATGCATATCAAAANAAAAAAGAAAAAAAGACCACCATGCTTTGTCTTCAGTTTTTAAAGATTATTCCGAGGAAGATCAAGAAACAAACATGTCTAATCTCCCATCCCTCTGCTCTTATATAAGTCTACTGTTCCACTAGCAAAACGATTTGAGTTCTGAACCAAATGGAGATTACAAAATACCCAAAACCAGAAAGAAAACCATAGAGATTATGATTTCAGACCTTTCCAGAGATTATAAGCCAGCAATCCCGCTGGTGATTGTGTTTAGCCACTTCATCGAAGGCGAAAACCTTGGGATCTGAACCCATTCCTGCCACAATAAACTGCCAACAAAAGTCAAGCTCAATCCACACTGAAAGCAATCGTTTAATCCACACATAATCAGACGATTCAAAGACTGAATTAGTGAGGAGTAAGTAGAAGAAGAAGAAGAAGAAGAAGAAGACGCTAGCATTCTTACAGACTAAGGCGTTGAATGAAATTGGAAAGTCGACCCCTATCAGCACGATTTCTTCTCATCAGCCACCAAGCATTTTCTGCGGCTTTTATCTCGCCGGGTTTGCGAAGCTCAAAGACGCACGGATCAATTTTTTCCCCATAATTGCATCTCAGTCCTCCGTTTCGTAGTTTTTTTTTTACCTATTGTAGCCCAAACTTTTATTGAATTTCCAAGCCCTCGACCACGTGATACTCGCTTAAAATGTGCCGTAGCCGTAGGATGCAAGAAATCCACCGAGTACTCTCTGTTTTTTTCAATACTCGAATATTTCATTCTCTACCAACAAATTCACTGAATATTGTATTATTTTTTTTAATTTTGTCTTTACGCTCAATTGACATGTCACCCATACTTTTACTTTATATTCTAATAAATTTGGTTACACTTGCATATCAACAAATAGGAGTCCTTAAGCATAGAGGGGACTATTTTCTTTCATTTATTTATATATATTAAATAAAGAAAAAAAAATTGACTCTATATGAAAAGTATGAGTTTTTTTCTTTTATCATATCTGTGAGTGTTTGGACCAACTTACACATACCTTGATTAATCTCACGGTAAAGTCATCTGACCCTACAACGTTTAGTGTCAGAAAATATATAGAAATTAATTCTTAAAGTAAGTGATCATTATGAGGTTTGGACTCATTCATTTGAACCAATAGATCATTCATAATAGTTCAAAAGTATGAGTTATTCGCTTCTTATCGTTATTATTTCTGTAATCAAAGATATATTTTGATTCTTAAGATTTACTTTCATGAGGTGACTCAAAAGAAATAAATTATAAAAAGTAACTTTTTAAAAAAGTATTTTCACTACAGTTTTTTTTTGGATCAAACAAAAAATACATAAATCAAAGCAAGCATAGTTCAGCGGTAATTGACATATGTCTCCAACTCAGAGATGGTGAGTTTGATCCCCACCCCCTGTACTAAAAAAAATACAAAAAATATATCTTAAAAAACAAAAACATATTAGTAACCTCTTCCTAATCTTGAAGAGTCCAAGATTAAGGATTGTTTTGTTATTTTGCAAGGTGAAAATAATCCTTTCACTATCCTTCTATTTCAATTTTTCTTTTATTTCATCAATTGTTTTATTTTCAGAACTCTAAATTATTAAAATTATTAAAAGAAGTATAATTGGAAACGCCAACTACTAGAGAACAAAATTGAAATATATAATGGGCAATTTTAATAAATGGTATAGCATAGAGGGGCAATTATGGAAATATCTTTCACCTAAAAAGACCATGAAAATATAAATAAATAACATTGTCCCCTTCACAGTGCATAGGATCTGTTTTTCGAGATTCACAAAAGGGCCCACTTTTGCGGATCTCCTTTCCCGACCATTATTTAATTTATTTTAAATCAAAAAATAGATCCACCATTCAATCTTGCCACGTGCAGCACGTGGTTTGTTTATTTTAATTTTAAACACAAATCTACTACTTTTAGTATATTGGTAAGAAATGAAAATGCACGCAGAGTAATATAAACACAATTTTTTTTCGTATATATTATTTTTATTATTTTATTATCGTCGTATTTTTTTTGTACCATTTCTTTGTTCTATATATATGCTTTGTAAATATGAAACATATATAAGCAAACATATCAAAATATCAAGTTATGATTTTCTATTGTATATAAGTTTTACAAATATAGTTTGTTACTAAAATTCTTCAAATCACTACAAGAACAAGAGTCTATATTAACAATTTTTTTTTTTGAGATATTGTGGTGGTTAAAAATTACTACGGTAACAAATTAAAATAGTTTTAAATGTAATAATTATCACAAAATGTGCCATGTTTAAAAAAGTTATTAAGAGCCGGTTTTACAACTTTTTTTGTTTAAATATTGAGAGCCCCATTTTAACATATATGGTATGAATTTAAGGACCGTTTCCAATTAGAAACAGTTACATAAGTGTTCGAAATATTTGATATAACCATTGTAAATGTATTTTTATTGGTGTCTTATATTGCAACAATTAATTCATCCGTACTATAGTTTAAATATGGTTGAATTAGTTTAAAATATAAATAATCTTATGGTCGAATCTTCACTCTTCACTATACTCTCTTCTTTGAACTTAAAAAATTGGATTAAATACTCTATGCAATTTGAGGGCCACCAAACTTTAATCAAATATAAACAGACACACACGAAAATATGATACATAAAAGACACGTGGCTCATTTAAATCCTTGGAAATTTGGGGGGCATAAGAAAATAAATTAAATTCATTATAATATTCAACCATACAATCCTAGGAAAATCCGCTGATGATAAAAGATGGGATCTCAAGCAAGAAGCATCTGCAACCAAATAAAGAAGTCAAATTATTGTATAATGAAATAAATATTATTCAAAACAAAACAGATGATATATAATAAAGATTTTTTTTAACACAAATATCAAATTTAGCCATTCAACTATATTTCATTTTTTATTCCTATCATGAGGTTAATGGTAACATTTCCATATGTGAAATGAAGAATTTGAACATTAATGTTTAAGTCTAAATTTTCCGTTCATTCATCTCGTTTAGTATAAATGTAAGAAATTAATTATTGCATTTATTCTCAAGTAATTAGAGAGAGATTATGGATAAATGAAGTAATAATGAAAGCTTTAATTTATCAATTAATTTAATCATGCCTCTTGAATGGGAAGAAGAAGAAATTGATTCAAAGATCCATCTTTCTTTCACTAAGCAACTGCTTGTCCTCAACCTCAGCATGAATCTTTTTCTTCATCATCTTTCTCATTAGATAATTCGATTATTAAGGAGAAAAAAGAACATAGAAGTCATTTAGATGCGTTAGAACAATTTAAGTTAAAAATTAAAGCTTAAAAAAAATTAATATGTCGTTGAAATTTTAAAGTCATATCTAGATATTACTAGTAGTTTAAAAATATTTTTAATATGTTTGTGAATTTTCAACGATTGTGTAGGGTAGAATTCATGTTATTTAGTATATATGTCAATGCAAGTCATCATATTAATTTGGAATGTGGTTTTTTGTTTAATCCTTGGGAAGAGTTTGGGACATGAGCTTAAAAATCTTGGGTTCCTCATGGGTTACCCACCACACACACACATATATATATTTTTTTTAATTTTTTGTTTTCCCCTTTTAAAATACAACATCATAAAAGGGGAGCAGTTAAAAAAAAAAATAGAAACGTGGTTAAACATTCTTGCACCTCAAACATAGACTATTCGGTTCAAGATTAACACATTCGTGCCTGTCAAATACAGTCTTCCCAATCTCAGGTATTACAACATCCCCAAATTTAACTTTCAGGCTCAACATTCCTAGGACCGCTGATGTCGAAGCTATGCCCAAATGCCCCATTATCACTTATATGACACATTAACTATATTGTTTATAGATTATATGACAAATTTATTTAAGATAGCAGTTTAAATATTCAATAACTTGATAAATTAAAAACTTATTAAACATAGATTTGAATATTCCATAAATGATTAGAGTTTTTTTTTTGCCATCTTTTTTTCAAAATGAGCCTAGCTTAGAGGTAAACTCCTTTATCCCACTTTGAACATTATAAAGTTACCTACATAAACACAATTCTAAAAATTATATATATATATATATATAAATTCTTTAAAAAAATTGTAATGAGTGAAATAATTTTTTCACATTTGTAAATATGACAATTTTACCCGACGAACCTATGTTGTACTAGATTTATTATGATGAGATTTCTGTACAATTGTTATGAAAATTAAATAGGCACCAAAATTAAAAGTTTATGGTAAAGTGATCATAATTTAGCATGAATTCAGAATTAATATAAACAAGTGTAAGAATGGGTGGTGCTTACTCGCCGGAGACTTCTCCCAGCTGGCTTCGCCGCCTCCTTCGGCTTCTTGGCCGAGCAGCTGCCGTTCGCCGTCTTAACTTCCGGTTTCTTCCGCGCCGCCACGTTCTCCTCCGGCGCCGGTTTCGGCTTCACATCAGCATCCGCCATGAAAAGCTCCGCAATACAGAACTCACCACTGTCGTCGAAGTTGTTCTGAAATGTCGTCGCCATTAATGGGCTCAGCTCATCATCATCATCATCATTAAGATCATCATCTACAACTTCATCTGATCTCTTCCCCTCCTTCTTCAAATTGCAATATTCCGTTGGATAATTTCTGGGTTTTGATGATCTCTCAAACCCCACAACGCAAATTGTAAGACGCCGACCATTGATTCTCCAATCCTCAAGAACATCGAAGATCTCATCAACATGCTTTGCCACAGATTTTGTGTTCTTTCTCCACACATTTCGTTTAGACTCAGCTGTGCCATTAAACGAGACAGATTTAATATAACCAAAAAAAAAAAAAAACTCATGTTTTGTCCATCCACTTTAAAATGTCTATAATTTTGATTATGGTCTTGGATAAATTTGGTCTCTATTTACCTACAAATTTTAATACAGAGTTAGGACAGCATATTTGAAAAAACTTATTGAGCATACATAAATTAATTATGATGAGAAAATAGTTAAAAAGATCAAAGAGACCCAAATGGAGACTTTTTAAAGGTATATAAGAGTAAAATTATATATGTCAAGAAAGTACTATAGTCAAATGGAGATAAGTTAAAAGTATATATAGAGGGACAACAAATAATAAAATTACAAAAATCAATAGTATTTAAAAAGGAAATACAAAAATTATATAAGGGAAAAATGGTTAAAAATGGAACCTTTAAGAGGATTGTAGTGGAAGTTGGAGTGAAGCCAGTTGAACATGGCTGTGAGGGAGTTTTATTATATCTTAAAACAAAATTTTAGAAAGTGGGCACCTCGGAAAATTTGTGCACAACCTCAATGTTTTGTTAATGGTCGTACGAAAAGTGGTGCAATAAGAAGTGTATATATATAGAGATGAAACAGTAGGAGGTGGGTGATCAGGTGGTGAAGAAGACTTCCTGTAAAAGGGCACAGTGGGACATATTTGCTACGGTTTGTGATGTGACTCTAATAATTTAATTTAGCTAGGTTTTTCACACTTCCCCATTGCAAATCACGGATGAAATAAAAGAAGCGATATTATGCTCGGTGGAGACTCTGATCTATCTCGTGTATGAAATATTAATATTAGGTGTTCCATCTTAAAACTAATTAACAATAGTTCATATCAATAATAAATTTTTGTAAGTCCGGATACTTAACATGAAATACATTTTCACTATCTTTTTGCTATGCTCAAATGAACTCATTGTCATTGAGGTGTGTATTGGACTAGTACGGTACTATATCAATATGCAAATCTTTTCTTGTATGTATAGATGTTCATTTGAAGTTTCTTGCATCGCAATTTAGATCTAAATTCTACGTCAACAAAGCGTGTGTTGGAAAAAAAATATAGATCAATCGATCATCCTGTAAGTTCTTCAAATATGAACTATTTGATTTTCCCCTTCCATAGGCTAAAAGCAAACAATAACAAAAGAATGAGAGATAGGGATAGAAAAGCTTAACACCATAGGGATTACACTGGTTCGCCCCTATCTTGGGACTACGTCCAGTCTTCTGCAAAAAAGCAGGTTCAACTATAGTTGAGGATATTACAATGGAGATCTCACTCAAGATATTACTATCTTGCTTCTAAATACCCTAACAATGGCTACTTATGATTACACAATTGGAAATACCTCAACTGAACCTACGAGATACAAACTCATTTTTCACACATTGCCCACAACCATTCAAATCTCTCTTATTTTGACTTTGTACAAATGAAACCTTAACAAAAAGGTTCAATTTATAAAATGTCAAATATCACAATCTTTATAGGAAAAAAATATTGTGATCCTTATAAGACAATAATATCCTACTCCTTGTAGGAATTGGTAGTAGTGTTGAAAATTCTTTTCTTCCTAGGACATGGGTCATTTGTTTTGACTCCATTATCCCAACAGCGTGGTTGTCAAATGATTGAAGGTAAATTTTGAATCCATATGCTTCATGGTCCTCTCTTACGAGTAACTTATTCAAATTTAGGGTATAATTCTCGCATTTTTTTTAACATTCTTGGAAATGCAAATTTTACAGTCACACTAATGTTAGTTAAACGTTGAGTGTCAAAATCATTGCCGTATGATTGAAAGTAGACTTCTAGTTCACACGTGTTTTGTGGTCCTCTCTCCTTGATCATCTTCTCCTCTGATCTGCTGTCGTTTTTTTTCCTTTTAAATTATATGCAGCTTGACTATAGCTAGGGATTACTTTTAATGGCTATTTTCAATGTTATTTCAGGTGCAAAAAAAGAAATTGGTTCTGTGACCAATCAAAGAATGAAAAGAGAAACAGTAGTTTTCATAGTTTGCCTTTGGAGAGAGCCCTACAAAACCCCACCATTGCATATGGAAATTGAAGCATCATTTTGGTATGGCCATGCGCTGACTCCCCAACTTTGCATTATATTATTGCATTTTTTCTATTATTGTACCCAAAAAGCTAATTCTATCCTAACAACCAAACTTTGCTTGCTTTCCCCTTCAAACCGATTATTTTTTAACCCGATCCAAATTGAGATATATCGTATTTAATAGTTGATGCGAGACTTTAGTTGTAAACGCGTCCCATCAACTTGAAGAAAGGACAAAGAAAATTATTTTTATCCTATGCATAACTTTTTGAATGATAGAGCACATGATAAAAGCGCTCCTTCTGAGATATAAAGAACTTGAAAAAGATTTTGTAAAAAAAAAAAAAAAAAAGATGGCAGAGGCTAATTTTTTTGGGACAGTCTCTTTTGTTTTCCTATCCACAATTTCCTTCCTTTCTCAATTAATCTCTCATTTGGGTACTAATAGGAGAAAGCTCAAATTCTTTTGCACCATGCCATATTATATATAAAATTAAGTTAAGCTGGAATATACATTATTATTTTAAAATTAGAAAATTAAAACAAAATCGTCTGTAATATGAGTGCGAAATACTTTTTGAGTTTAAACCAATAAAATTTGTGTTACTAGATTTGGTATCATTTTCTTGTGATTGATTGCAGATCAAAGAGAACTTTTTTTTCCCCTTTTCTTTTGTGGATTTCCAAAATGATTTGCTTTATGATTATTTGGTGAAGGGCATAAGGGGATAAAGATTTGGGGAAACCATTTAGAGCCATAAGTTGGAATGAGGCCTCCCCACCAAAATGTTGATTTGTCATATTTTTCAAAGGCACATGCAAGGCCTAGCTTCCCATAGCTACATAAAAGTAAGAAAACGCCATCTTAAACAAAAAGTTGGTTTAGAAATAGAATGATGTTTAATTATTTTCATGTTTTTTTTTTTTTATGTTTAGTAATATTTTTTCTCCTAAAATAATTCGTTTTAATATTTTTGAGTATTTATATTAAAATCTTATAGACAATAAATATATATATATATATATATATATATATATATCCTATATTGCGACCAAAGTCTTGCATTGACTAGATGAGAAGAATATCATAGGTATATAAATGAAGGACAACATCTGAGTTATGATCGTGGTTTATCTCTAAATTGGACAATATCATGCTATTGTGAAAATTTTGAGAGTTGACTCACTGTCGTATAAAATTTTTATTAAATGCCTACACAAATATAACAATGACAGAGAGAAAAATTTGTGTAATGTTGCGGAAATGAGGATTGTTTCTTTATTTCCCAATTGTTTTATTATTATTTTTTAACTAATTTCTTTTTATCTCCACTGTTTGATCGAGAAATGACCAAATCTGTAAACTTTTGGATCGGTTGGGACAAGCTAAGTAGTGAGCTCCAAATGCCAAAGAGAGGACCTGCAAAACAGAGTAGATACTCCGATGTTAAAGTTAGTAAGAGTCCAAGTCAATTCGAGAGAGAATTGGTTTGATCACATACCTTGAAATGGAGCGGAATTGTCTTATTTATAGGCGAGGTCCCCGACAAGGTTTTAACGGCTCTTTAAGGTTGCCGTGAAGGGCGGCGTGATGCCGCAGAGTCAGTTGGAGAATAGGCTGAGCCGAAGTGGTCCAAGTAACGTGTTTGGTCGGCTCGACCGTCCAAAAGGATCGACTCGGCATGAGACATCATGATCGAGGCAAAAACTCGGACAAGGAGGTGACACGTACTGCTGAGAATCCAACCATTGCACGCCACGTGTAAGCCTAAGATTCGCCTCCAACATCCACTTTTGTGATACTTTTTCACATGTATATCAATGGTAAACAAAATGAACTCTAGCACTCTGTTTTCACATTTCAATTCATGTTTATTCTTATTCCATCTCACTTTTATTCTTATTAAGTAATTATCCACTTTTATCTTTTGAAAAGCTCACCGAAAATTTAGAAAAGTGAAGAAAATTAGGCATTGTCTTTACAAGAATTAAAGACGTGTGATTGATACGTCATGTCATTTTTTAGCACAACCTTATAATATATGAAATAACAAAAATAATTAAGTGAAGACTTTATTATATGATGTTGAAATTAATTCAAATATTCCTAATAATAGACATTATTAGCTCCATGCTTTCTATTTACAAAGTGAAGCAAGACATCTTTTTCCACTTTATCATGGATCAATCAATGGCGTAGCCCATTGTATCAGAATCAGATTTATTATCCATCAGCCCATGGATATAAATTTTCCTTTTTTTTTTTTGAAAAGGGGATATAAATTTTCTTTATTCCTTTCTTTGGCATAAATTAAAAATATTACCCTGTATATTATAAAGTATATATACATATACATAGAATTAATTCACAAAATAACTGAAAATAGAAATATAAAATATAAAAATCCTCCAAGTTGGCGACTCGGCGGGACATGGAAAGATCCTCAACTTTGACCCACTGGTTTTCATCCGTACAATATTGTATTAGTAAATAAGTAAAATTTGGGTTCAATAATATGTTTTCTTTAGTGTTCGTCTTTTTTAACTTTAATTTCAAACTTTCATATGATTTTAAGAGTTTTATTATCATCTCTGTTCCTAGTTAATTAAATGATCATAGTAAAAATAGAAGTCCAACCAAATAAATTAATTACTCACACACTCTGAAACTATAATACCTCGTGTCTAGGATTCGTACCAATAGAATTCAGATTCAACACTTGATTGTCCCAACATTCCTATGCAATCTTGTTGTTTGAAATAGTGAAGAGTGTCCTTCCAAACAAACGTAGGTCATTCTCAAGATTGCTCAAAGTCAATTATAATTTTGGAATTCTCATAATTGATCGATTAAAAGGAAATGTGCATCTTATTGGTATGGATAATTACTATCAATTATTTTAAGTTGTTTTTTTCCTTATCATGCTTATATCTAAGGATCACTCTCATTCGGATGTGATATCATTTTATTCCTGTACCACGTTCCTCTCTACTAAAGTGTCATAAAAGCAAGGTTATCTCTTAACTGCTATTTCTTAATTCTCGATCTCAATAATACTGTAAAAAAACTTTAATGTAAATTTTTATTTTTTAACCCTCCCACCATCAGAAATTTGCTATGATGCTCACTCACATGAATATGAAATTTTTTCTTTTCGTCTATCACTGATATTACTTTCATAGATCATCAATAAAGTATATATAATTAATATATCATGTGAAAATATTGTATAAAATATATTCCTAATATCCCAAATATAGAAGTATATATAACTGATCATATACCATTTTTACCTCATTGATACGTGAAATCTTAGACACCTACTATATATTTAATATAAAATACACTATTTTTACATTTTGTGCTATAATATTTTATCACACGAGAAATATGCTACTAATTATGTTAAGGCACGAAATAATAAAATATTTTTTCGAAAGTCATAAAGGTAATGACATATATCTCCAACCAAGAGATGTGAGTTTCTCAGACATATTGTACTAAAAAAAAAGAAAAAAAAAGAAATATTTTGAAAGATATATAGAGTAAATTTAAAGTAAGATAAGAAATATATAGAATAAAATCATAAATTATGTGAGAGGAATTAGGTAGAATTGAAAAAAATAAAAAATAAAAAAATCTTACATTACTCTCTCTTGAAGCACAGTCAGAAGGAAGCGTTCCCATTATTTTGCAGGAAAAGAATCTTACATTTTCTCCGACATATCAAAAGCTTTAAGCATAAGCATAATTAGCAACCACACTTTAATCTTTTATCTCCCACATTATTAGCCATCTATATAACATTTATTTCATGCCGTTTTCTGCACAGATTCTATCCTCGTCTTTCAAATTTGATGGGATAGACAGCTGCCGAGCTAGAAATTTTTTTTTTAAATTAAGAGATTGTGAGTTAATTTCTAATTTTTAATTTTTGTATTCCACTTTTGATTTTGTGTTTTATTTTTTAAAATTAACAGATTCTAGATATAAATTTAAATTTTGTCTCTAAGGTAACAGAGAATTCTAAACTTAAAAATTGAAAGTTGAACAACTCATATGTATAAATTAAAGTTTAGAAATCTATTTATTTCTTTTTTCTTTTTAATTTCAGAAGTATAATCTATAAGATACAAGATTGAAAGTCGGAGATTATACACAAATTAATTGCTAGGAAAATTTTGGCACAATTTTTTTGGGTTACTAGAGACTGAAGAGAGAGAGAGAAGTTACAGTAACTTAGTGTTGGCTTTTGTTCTCCATACGTGAGTTCTGAATCTGATACTTTTCTTCATCTAATCTATCTTTTCAACAGCTCTTTAATGTCATCTTCTATTTTTCTTCATCACCCTCTTCCTATAAATAACCCTAAACACTTGCAACCAATTCATCCATCAGCTGAGCTTTAATTTTTCGGTATCATTTTTCTATTTTCCCTCGGACCAAAAACAAACATTTTTTTTTTTTTTAATTCACTATGGCTGGTCGTTATGGTCGTTCATTTTACCGTTTTTCTTCCGTTAACCGCCCCCTCGCCCCCGGCGGCAACACTTCAGCTCAAGACTCGGCTCAATATGACGGCCGCCAATATCCTTCCGCCACCCGAGACTCGTCGGTGGAGCCCCGGGCTCGCTCGCCGCCGTTCTCCCCGAGGAGAGAGTCCTATCCAGCTTCACCGACGTATTCTGTCAAGAAAGCCGCTTCGCCGCCTTCTTCTCCGCCATACCGAGCCCCGGCAGCACGTACCGTCAGCTCGCCGCCGAGGCTTGTTGACGAATACCCTAAGTACAAGCCAACTACTCAACCCAGGTTGTTAAACTAATACACGATTCTTAAGTTTGTTATTAATTTTGGTTTAGATTTTTTTAAATACGTTTTAAAAAGGTATACAATTTGGGAGTAGTGTTTTCAAATGGCCTTCAAAATTTTATAGGTTATGGAACAAATTACTCGCGACTCAACACCCAATCAAAATTTTGCGTTTCTGTTGTGTCATCTTTTTTACTTATAAAAAATTTGGTAACGTGACGGGTAAAAGATGTGTGCTTACTAGTAAGCACCAGGTATTTTTCTAAGTCATGAACTTTATAGGTATATTAAGACTTAATCAATTTGGACAATATCTCCTTCTTTGATTGGATAGCAAGAAAACTATTTTTGCCTACCACTAAGTTTTGAATAGACGAAAGAGAATACAAACAAAAATAATGACTCTTATACTTTTAGAAAATAAACCCTTGTTAAAAATTAAAAAATACTTGGCTCGCTTTAGGGGTGTTTAAAGGTGGGAGTCAAATCTTATCTTCACCGCTATTAAAAAATTAACATTTTATTATTTTTTGGGGAAAAAATCTTTATCATTAAAGATTCAAGTATTTTGCTTATTTTTTTTTCTTAAAAGTGCATGTTTTTTTTATTTATCACTCTAAGTTATAGAACTCTTAATAGTGTAAATAGATAGCCAATTATTTTCCTTAAATATTTAGTACTAGACTGTAACAATCGAATCGACGTGAAAGGATTATTATTACAATAATTTGAATACGAGAAATACTACATATATTTACATACTCCGCTTTAGTTGATAAACTATCATATATTTAATCATTTATTCGTATGGATAACGTAGGTCACCTGAGGCGGATCAGAAACCGGTGATCTACAAGGCAATAGAGAAGGCGACGACGAAATCAGACCGTTATCCCGAGACGGGTAAAACGACGTCGTCCCAGAAGCAGCAACAGCAGAAGCCAAACGCAATAAACATCTCGGGAGAGAATCTGGGCGCCGTAATGGAAATCGTGCAGTCCCCAAAACGTGAAGGGGGACATATCATCAGAAAAAAGGAGAGCAGAGGATCAACATTACACAGTAATGATCAAAACAACGAACATTCTAAAGACCAAAAGGGAAAGGAAGCAACTTCTTCTTCTTCTTCTTCTTCACTGCCGGCCAACACTTTTTTGAACAGCAATTTCCAGAGCGTCAATAATTCCCTTCTGTACAATGCGTCTCTGGCCCACCGTGACCCTGGTCTGCACCTCGCCTTCGCCCGGAACCCGGCCGGCGACCGGTTCGCCGCTGATGACAAGAAGCACCACCCCAAATACTAGACCGTACAAAAAAGAGAGAGATGATGCTGGAGAATAAAAGGAAAAACAAGGATATGAGAAATATATAATATTATAAATATGTGAGAATAAAATGGTATTTCCGACAAAAATATTTTCCATTAATTTATGTACGTTGAATAAAATAAACTTGGATTTTCTATTGCGTTTGGTTTTTATGTTTGATGACGATTTAAAGATATAGGAATATATGATAAGTGAATAAGGGTGTGCTAGTGCTACCCACATGTTCGATTTTGACATTAAAAAAAAAAGAATAAATAATGATTCACTAAAGTAAAAGAAAAAGAATTTAATATTATTGGTTATAAGTTATAACACAAGCATTATCATATCAGATTTGCTTGCCTTCCATCGTAACATAACATAATATTTACCTGCTACCGTCTCAAGATGACATATTTTTGTTGTTTCTTTCTTTAAGAAATAGAAAAATCTCTTCTCTCTCACTCACCCTCTCTACATTTCTCTCTCCTATCAATAAAAAAATTTTTGAAAATTGGTAGTGAGAGGTTTATCTTACTTCAATGAGCAAGGAAGAAAGTATTGTCAACCGAGATTATAAGTTGATGATGACCACGGGTCAATGTTGGTTGAGAACCAACATGAATCCGCAATCAACATTGACTTGTGTGTCATTTGTAGCCTACGATATTAATAATAAATACAAACCAAAGTTCACCTCTCCAACGAGAAATATGGCTAAAGTAACCACATAACTTCATAATTCTTTTATAATCAATATGTCGAGTAGAAGTTATTTGTTGTTATTTAAACTGTAAACTGCATTCGATAGTCTCTTCTACCTCAAACTTTATAATCCATTCACTAATCAATCTCATTCACCTTCCTTGCTATGCATAGATCCACATATTTGTTATAATTTCTTTACCATCTTTACCATTTCTCTCTCATCTATTAATGACACCCATAACTTTTTAATTAATTGTTTTATATTTTGCTATTTCTTTTTCATTTATACTACTAATATTTTTTCTTCTAAAAAATTTATACAATTTTTATTAATTGATGTGATTTTATTATGAAATATTATAAATTTATACAACTTTTCCTAATTGATGTGATTTTCAAATGTTAGAAAATGAAAAAGGGACCCTTATTCATCGCTTCGTAAATAAGGCAAAACATGTCAGGTATGAAAACTAAGTTGGTTTCGTATAAATATATGAGGTCCCGGCCCTTTCTTTAAATCATTTGATAACATTTCTGAATCAACATTGCTTCTACATTTTTGGTGAAAACTAAAATTAAAGGGAGAGGCAGTGCATGTTCAAATACTTTGAAATAGTACTTAAAGGTTTTAGAATAGGAATCAATGCTTCGAACCCATATATATTATAACTTTTGTTAGGTTCCTTAATTTTTGTGACGTGGGATATACATATAGGAGTTATTTAATTAGCAACGTCTAAAACGTCTCATCAATTATAATATCATTTATACCCTGACTAATTACCTCTTCAAATTGATATAACCCTTCAAATTTTAAAGTTCAAATTTTGGGCAGAAAACTCAACCAATAACCAGTGTTTAGATATTAGCTAGCAATCTTTAACAGTATCATCTTAGTAAAATAAACAAGAATAATCTCACCCGTGGTTCTTTCTTTTTTATTATCACTTAATTACCATATTTCCCAAATGGTAAAACAAATAATACACCATATATATATAGATATATATTCAGATCAAAGAAAAATACATTCCATTAATCATATATATCATTATAATAATCTCCACTTATTCATAATTATTTTAGCAGCACACGGTGCGTAGTAGAACTTTGAAAGCTTCAATTCGTCTAGTAGGTCGAACCAAGAACAGATTGGGCATGGCCATGGGCGGGCTTCTTGGAGAAAGACAGGTGCAGGCCTGGATCACGGTGGCTGAAGGAGGAGTTGTACAGAACGGAATTATTGACCCCTTGAAAATTGCTGTTCATGAATGATTTCGCCGGCAAAGAACTTGATTTGTTGCCTTTCTCATCATCGTTTCCACTCTCTGTGCTTGGCTTTTTCTTCACCATTTCTGTGCCGTCAGATGATTGAGTTATGTGCATGATGGCGCCTACGTTCTCGCCTTTGATGGTTATCACGTCGCTCTGTTGCTGCTGCTGCTTGTATTGGGGCTTGCCGGAGTTGTACTCTGACGGCCGGTGATCGGGTTTCGTCGGCTTCTCGACCTTCGGATAATGTATCGATTTCTGCTCGACCTGATTAAGAATATGTATACAAGATTAAATATATACCAGAACTAACCTGAATTATTCAATGATAAACTATAATTTGATTGGAACAAAACAAGAGAAAGTCATCTTGTTAAACTCATACACACGTAAATTATGGATACATTAATGTTGGTTGAATCTCATTTTTTTGCTTGGATGGTCGTTTAAACTTGTTCAACTCTAATACTAATATCGTCGAGTGTCATCTCAAAATCATTTGGTCAAGGAGTATCATAGTTCATATATCTTATAAATCTTGATAGGTCCGTTTTAGTTTACTTTTTAAAGTTGAACATCTTTTGTTCTTTGTTGCAACATTTCAACACATATCTTATGGAATAAAAATATTTTAATACAAATTTATGATTACATTTTTTTAAAATTAGTAAATAAAATATGACGCTAAAATTGTGACAGAAAAGAACTCGAATAAAATTTTCGACCATATATATAATTAAATTTATCAAAATCATGAGTTTAAACTTTTGATTTGGGAGGTAATTTATTCAGTCATAGCAAAAAAAAATTAAAATGGTCCCTTTATAAAAAAAATATGAAAAATTAAAAGGGACTTTTAAAAATTATGATAACTAAAACGAATAAAAATGGAAAGTAGACCAAAAAAAATTGACATTTTGATAGCACAATAATCAAAATAATTAAATTATACCAATAAAAGTAGTATTTACGTAAAAAGAAATTAATATATATCGTAATATTTAAAGTTAACTAACCTCCGGTGGGCTTCTGGATCGAATCGTGGGCCCAGGTTCATGTTTCGCCTCCGACCGAGGCAGAGTTAGAGGAGAGAGCGGTGCGGCGGTGGCGGCGGTTGGGTATTTGTGCTTGGCAGGCGACAGCGGCGGAGAGGTATAGGAGGGTTTAATGGCTTTGGGAGATGTGGTGGCACTAGACCGTCGTTCGCCGTCGTAACGGTTGTACGACGGAGTTGGAGACAGTGGCTTGGGAGGCGAAGCGGCGGCGGCGGGTCTATATTTTGGAGAAGAAGGCGGCGAGGCAAATTTCTTCGTGGGAGATGGAAGTCGAGAAGATCTTTCTCTAATTGGAGAAGTTTGGAGAACTTGGGCGGTGACCGGAGAGTTGGGTGAAATTTCACGCCCATTCATCGGCGCCGGCGCTGGTGCCGGCTGAAGTTGTTCCGGTTGTGAGGCAGTGGCGGGGCGGGGGAGGGAAGAGAAACGTTGCCATGTGCGGCCAAACCGAGGAAGATTTGCCATAAAGAGGAGATTTTGAAAGATGAAATATTGATAAGACAGATGGATATGATTGGTGAAAGAACTTGTGATTTATGGGTGTGTATTTATAGTGAGAGCCGATGAAATTACCAAACAAAAGCTTAAGCCTGAAAATAGGAGGAGAAAAGAAAACAGAGAGAACAATAAAAAGAGGGAAAAGAAAGAAGAAGGAGATCAAGAGAAGTATCAGATTCAAGAAGCACATACAAGGGGTAAGAAAACATTGCAAAAAGTAAGGAATCATTTGGAGATGAGGAGCGCATATTTAGCTGAGGATGATTAAACGTTAGACAAAGTTTTTAATTTTTAAAAAAATATTTAGATGTTTAACAATCCATATCAATCACTACTGCTAAATTGACAGGTGATAGGTTAGAGAAATATAGAAAAAGATCTCTTTTTCTTACTTTTCAAAAATTAAAAGGTTATCAAATGTTTATTGATTCTCAACCCCAATTAAAATACATGTCTCCGATCAAGAAGTCATGAATTATGACATTTTTTTAACATTAATTAAGATGTTTTGTGTCGTGTATTGAGAAATGGATTCTCATTCTTCCCGCCCCAGATCAAGCAATCTAAATATTGAAATAAAAACATATGTTTTGGAGAGGGAAAAAAAGGCCATCCTTTACGCTTTTGTCCTTTTAGGGGGTTGTGGTTGACAGCCATAAATCCAATTATTTTGAGAATAATATTATCTCCAATATTAATATTAAACTATTTGAGATTGTTATTGTGCATCAAAATTCAAATGCGATTTTGTGAATGACATTCCCTGTTTATTTTCTATTATAAGCAATCTTCGGTCAACGAATTTGAATTATTATTGAATTCTTTAAAATAGTTATACTTTATCAATTGAAAGAAGAAAAAGAAAATCCCCCAAAAGTTTAAGGGATGTTTGTGAGTTCAAACCCAATTTTTGTTTTTATATTCAAGAACTAATTAATTTACCCGGCCTATTTTAAGAACTATGCAGTTAGAAATTGATGTCATATAATGATTATATTATTCTAATCACTATGATTAAGTATCTCCATAATATATGGTATTGTCGCTTTAAATATAGCTCTCACGGCTTTGTTTTTTTTGTTTCAAACAAAATGTCTCATATCGATTGAGATAATTGCTTCTTTTATATACCTTGAATCACTCTCTTCCATACCCAATATGGAACTTTGTTGGCATTTCCTTTATAAACCCGACATTAGTATGTTAGTATATGTTCCAAAAAACTAAAGATAATAATATAATGTTAATTTTTATAATTTTTTATTAAATTTAATCAAATTCTCAAACACCTCCAAGCACTTTTTTTTATGCAAAAAAAATCATAATAATAAATACTGAAAGGGTTTGATGATGAGTAGCTTCATTTCTCTCTCAAATGAAATAGAGAATCAAATTTGAGTAGTGGAACATAGAGAACATTAGGTTTTTTTTTTTAGTAAAGAGAACATTAGGTATATTTGCACAAATATCCTAGATTATTTGTCATAAAATTAAAAAAATGTGTATAATAATATTATTAGGTCGATCTAAGTATGGTTTTGATTCTTGTATCTTTCAATAATTCATTTTTTGATTCTAACTATGTTAAATTTAAAAACTAAGTCCAAAATGATCCATTTGTCATATTTTTCTAATTATATAATGCAATGTGGCATTATAGGCAAGTGTTCAAAAAATTAAAGATATGAACCTACTACATGTTTCAAATTATAAGTTCAAAAAGACTTACTAGATAAACTAATTAAATAATCTTAATCGAGAAATATTTTAGAGTTCTATTAAAACCTTTTTTTAAAAAGATCTACTAAAAACGATTTTTAGTTGAATAAAAGGTTGAAGTAATGATTCGAATCTTTAATCTTTCAACCATACGTGCACCTTAACTAATATATTTAGGTTGCCTATTAAAAGCCTAATTCACTAGATAGACATGCTCCTGAAATTTTAAGACTAAATTTAGTTTATCCCATTTGCTAGTGATGTTTAAAATCAGTTTTTTTTTTATATATAATTTAAAGAAGTAAACAATAATCTATTATTTTCAATTTTTGTGGCATAATTTTCAGGAAGCTAAATAATTAACAGCCAAGGGGAAGACTATGAAGATCACAGCCCTTTTTCACATATAATAATTATTAATTATGTATATTTTTTAAAATATTACGTTAACCCATTTAATTGGCTTATTATTTCTTATAAAACAGTACTCTTTCGCTTCGACCATCGTCCTCTAGGGCTTGTAATTCTTGTTATGACCGTCAACAATGGCTCCGCCGCCGCCGTCCGCCGTGTCGGAGAAGGCGAGATGCAGGCCGGGATCACGGTGGCTGCACGACGAGTCGTACAGCACGGAATTGTTCACACTCTGAAAGTTGCTGTTCATGAACGCAGTCCCCGGCAATTCCTTTTTTGCCCCTGTCTTCCTCTCATCATTTCCGTGGTGGGCCCCACCTAATTCCGTTTCAGATTCTTTCTTTTTTATGATTTCACCGGCGGAATGTTTGGCGGAGGACTGATTTATTTCCATGACGGCGCCTACGTTGTGTCCGGTGAGGTTTATAACCTCCGCCTGCGGCGGCTTACCGGAGCCGTGCTCCGACGGCCGGCCAGACTTCGCCGGCTTCTCGACGGTCTTGTTGTACAGAACACTTTTCTTCTCCACCTCCGGCAACACGCTGGTGTTAAGAAATAAAAAATTAAACTTACCATAGATTTCGAGCAATTTTCTTCCTAATTAATTTTTAGAATTGTTGTTGTTGTTTTTTTCCTTTTTTTTACAGTAATTAATATTTAGAATGGATTGTCTCACTTTAGGTTAAAAGCTTATCCCAGTAGGATAAGGTAAATATTTAACAACTTATGAGATATCTAATAAATTTTAAGGCTGAGAAGAGTGTTAAAACGGAGCGTGAATGAGAAATAGTAGATTCAATTACACATTTGGTGTATCAATATGTGTGTATTTAAATATGTACTCTTATAATTATCTAAATTTTTAATAAGATTACGTCTATCTAGTATATATACTTTAAAATTTTAATATATAGAATAATATTTCATTAGTATTCATTTTTTACGAATTATCATCAAATTTTTAATATGTAAAAGAAATATTTCTTTTATTTTTTAAATAAATATATGAAGAGGTGTCAATGTTGACTAATTTGTCCTTTAAACTTCTTTCAAATATGTTCTTTCTCTCAAGTTGGTGTTGTTTTTTCAATCTAAATTTAGCCTCATATGTTTTAACATTTTTTCAAGTTAGTGATGGTAGTTTAATACCTAGAATGGAGCGCGCCATTTGCGGTACGTGGAAGAGCAAGAGGAGAAAGTGGCGGCGTTGCTGTTCGCCGGGACTTGGCCGGCGAGAGAGGTGGGGTTGTTTGGGCATGTCCCCGGTCGGAATATTTGGTTGCAGGAGACGCCGGCGGCGATCGTGCGGACTTCGCCGGCGAACTACCCACACGTTTGGCGGCAGCTCTGTATTTCGGCGACGCGGAAGGACCTCGCCGGCCGGGAGATGCTTTCAAAGGGGAAGACGCAGGAGAAGCCGATGGCGGCAGGTTGGGTTCGAAAGGTTGCAGAGTTTGGGTGGTCGGAACTGATGGCGGCACGGCGGCGGGAGCTGGCGGCGCAACCACAGCCTGACGTTGCCATGTACGGCCGAATCGAGGAAGATTTGCCATAATGAACGAATTGGGAGTGTTTGGCAACAAGGAAAATGAAATTCCACCAAGAATAGAAAAATTAAAGGCAGATATTTGAGAAACTTTGTCTTTGCATTATTTATATTGCTGGAAGTTGCAATATGAGATGAAGCTTGAGGGAGAAAATAATTGAAAATTCTGTGAGAAGATCAAGTGATTCTCCACACACAATCAAAAATTTTAAAAAATTAAGAACTTCTTCCAATAAAATAGTTTGAAAAAAAATACGAAGGAAAGAATCGGAAGTAATCCTCCTTGATTTATCCCTTTATTAATTTAGTACTAATATTTTGTTTTTTCTCTAATGTTGAAGTTGATGAATAAAGATAATGTGTCAATCCGAACATAGTTCTTAGTTAAAATAAATACTCTCGACCAAACTTTTGAAAGTTTGATTGAAAAAAAAAATAAACAAAGAGGATATTGTTATTTAATTTATTTATTATTAGTTTTTAGAAAGGATAATAAATGAAGGTGAACAGAGTATACGACAATCATTTTCCCTCGAAGAAATAGGATAACAAAATAAATAGATAAAAGGAGAGCATATAATAGGAATCAAATTTTGTTCTTAAAGTCGATTAATTGATTCAACTTGCCCCTCTATTTGGTAGGACAAGGAATAATTTCTATTCTTTAAGCAACATGCAAGTTACCACTAGCAAATTAAAAAGAAATAAAATAATTTTTTGTTTTCATTTTCAAAATTAATTTTATATGGCGGTAACAGATGACTTGTAAGAGTATAAAGAATAATTGTACCTATAAAATTACTCATCGCAAAAATCTATGATTTTGAAATTAAAATTGATTTAGTTTTTTTTTTATAAAGAAGACGGAAAAATAAACTAAGATGAATTGGAAGGAAAATAGTGATCAACTGAGAAGTATTGCTTTTTGAGAGTATAGTAAGTACGATTAAAGTTTTTAATTGTTTTGTTAAAAATGCGATCAAAGTCACACAATAGCTACATAAATAAAGGGAAAGTTCATCGTATATAAATTTGGGACACCATTTTCATCACAATTTTGAATGATACCAAAAGCAAATCACGAGAGCTTACGAAGAATCATGTTAAAAGTGGATAATATCATTCTAAGTTAAATGTCTAACATTTTGGTCAAACACTGTTTAAAATATTTAATATGGTCTAAAAATATGAGATCCTAAATACAAAAAGGTGGAATATTATTCCATTTTAGCTTATTTATTTAATTTAATAATCACACATTTAAAAAGGGTAACAACTTCCATTGCACTTTCTCCTTAGAACTTAAGAGTTCTGGGCGCCGTCGAAAATGGCTCCATCATCCTTCGACTTCCCGGAGAAATCAAGGTGCAGCCCTGGATCACGGCCCCTGCACGTCGAATCATACATTACAGAATTATTCACTTCTTGAAAATTACTGTTCATGAATGCCGTCCTTGGAAATCCCTTTACTCTGTCACTTTTATCCTTCCTTCCCTTCTTCCTCTCATCATCATTTCCATGGCGGACGCCGCCTTCTGTTTCGTTCTTCTTGGCGATTTCTCCGCCTGAACGATCATCGGATTCGGAGAATTGGCGTACTTCCATGACCGCGCCTACGTTATGTCCGGTAAGGTTTATAGCCTCCGCCTGCTGCTTCTGCGGCGGCTTTTCCGGATCCGTACTCCGACGGCCAGTCCGACTTCTCCGCCTTCTCGACGGTCTTTTTGTATGGACCGGCTTTCTGCTTCGTCTCCAGCGAGATTCTGGATTGAGCCGTCGTCGCATTTGCAGATTTAGGCAGAGCCAGAGGGGAAAGTGGTGGCGTGGTTGGTTGGTGAGGCTTGACGGTTTTCTGATACGAATTAGGGCCTAATTGAATGTCTCCGGTCGGAAGATTTCTTTGCAGGAGAGGGCGGAGGGGATCGTGCAGGCTTCACCGGCGGGCTGGCTACACGTGTGACAGTAGCTTTGAAACTTGGCGTGGCAGGTTTCTTGGCCGGAGAAGCTGCCGGCGGTGGGTTGGACTCGAAAGATTCGAGAGTTTCGGTGGCCGGAGCAAGTGGCAGAATCTCAGGCTCTGGTTCTGAAGCAGGATTTGCGGTGGCCGGAAAAGGGCGTGCAATTGTGGAAAGACGCTGCCATGTACGACCAAAGCGAGGAAGATTTGCCATAACGAATGAGATTGTTTGGCAGCTAAGAAAATGAAAACCTAAAGAATGGAAAGTTTTAAGAATGAAAAGACAGTGATAATGGAAGCTGTGTCTCTGCAATTATTTATAGTAGGAACCAGTGGATCTGTTAGAGAAGGTGTGAGGCAGAAAATGGTGGAAAATTCAAAGAGAAGATGAACCGATTCTGAGTGAATGGAAACACAGGCAAAAATAGTAAAAGAAAGAACCTGAAATGCTTCTTCAAAGAACAGATACATTAAATGGAGAAAAATGTGAAGAACAATGGGGAAGCATCCTCTTTAGATTATACTATAACTGCCAATATCATAACTTTTTGAACATGGAAGAAACAACTGAAACTCTACTGGACAGACTTCCATCTGACTACCGCATTGTTGAGGGAACAAGGAGATGCTTCTGCTCGCTAGAAAGCACTTTCTTCTGTGGATTGGGGCGCTCAGGCTCACGTCTCGATCCGGTGTTAGTCTGAGCTTTCTCGAAGATGCACAGTTAGTCTACCATTTGAAGTTGGTACAATATTTGGTAGGAACTGGAATCTGCAGCACTTCTCTGGACCATTGAGACAGGCCAATATCCAAATGCAGACTCTAAAAATTACCTGTTGAGAGCTATAGACAAACGCATACTGATATCTGTTTCGGAGAACAGTGAGATCGTTAAAAACGACATAGAAATGTAAGTTTTGATCGACTTCGAGTTGTCGAGTAATAAGTCATAGCTGAAGGGAAGAAGATTTGCCGGAGGCAAGAAGTGAGAGATGGGAAAGTGGAGAGAAAAGGAAGTCCAAGACATGTAGTTGAGAAGAGGGAGGCCATAAGGAAATGGGGAATGAAGTTTAGACTGAAATATCAGGAAATTAAGGCCAAGTAGTGAATTCAAAGACTTTGAAGACAATTTCAATTCCAGTGGGAATCTGCCATATAAAGAGAATAACATTCAGAGCATTGAGCGCAATGTGAAGATTTCTAGCTGTCTCATTGCCCTTCTGCATTGCAGGTACAAGAGCAGCTGCCAGTGCCCACAGAACAGTTATCCCTGTTGGTAAGCAACGAAATGAAAGGAAATGCATATCAGATCGAGATCACGACGACTACATAGAAATGAAATGGATCCTCCCCGTTTCATAGTCTGCCCAAACTAGTTTCGGTGCCAACAGTTGAGACGAGACCATAAACTAAAGTACCAAAGGAGGGGGATCTGAATGCAATGCAGTGACATTATAAGACATTAAATATAGAAGCTTTTGGTTTACCTGCTCCAGCAAACAAGTGAGGCCCAGGAAAGAGCTTTCCTGTTCTAAACCAGGTATTTACGCCTCCACCGATCGATTCCAGAACTCCGAATCCGAGTAGTATGGAGCCAGCATTGAAGTGCCTATCTCTGAAGGACCCTTTGATCAACTCTTTCCTCTCCTGAACTTCAAATACCAATGCATCAGATACTCTGTTGGTGTTGTGTTGGGTAAGAATTCACAATTCAGTCTAGGGATTAATTCAATCTTAGTATGATTTTGGAATTGTCAGCATCAAACGGATTTGTTTCAATCTTAGAAAGAAAAACTGTATCAATCAAACAAGCAAGCCTTTAATTATAAACGTACTAATACTACCTGCCGAACAAAGGAATCAAATATCTATTTAACCACAGATCACTCACTTTTAAGTCAAAAGTTATGACAATCTTTTCCTAAAAAATTATCATAATCTCTGCTATTCATTTACGCTCAATATGAGTGAAAATGTTTTAATGTTTTTTTACTTGATGCTGTTTACTAAGATTTTTTTGAATGAGAATCAGATATTATATAATTATTAGAAAATATATTTCTTATTTATAGCTAATTACACATGCATTAACTAAAAAAGTACGCTAATATTATTTTTAGTTAAAAAAATAAAGTATTTTAATTTATTTGATTGATAGTAAATATTTTTTTATTATAACAATCTATTTAACATTAATAAATGATAAATAATTAAAATAAATTTACATCAACTAAGAATGTTAATATAATTTTTATTACAACAACTATCAATAATATCAATTTTTATTAAATTGTATTGTTATAATATTTAATAATGATTACTTCTGTTTTAACTAGTGAAATAATAACAAATGTATAATATTTTACCATTTATTTAAAACCCATTTGATAATGTTTTTTTTATCGTTTTCTTCTTTTTCTTCTTCTTTTTTCATTTCTTATTTTTTAATAAATAAAAAGCTTTTTTTTCATTCTCTAAACTTTTAAAATAAAAAAGTAAAATTAATTTTTTAAATCAAATATTCAAACTTTTTATGTTATATTTATTTTTTAATATTCATTTTATAACCCAATAATAATAAAATAATATTTTATTATGTTTTGAAAAAAAAAATGGAAATGGGAACATAAACAATCAACTTTATTTTGATGTTGGAAATTTTGGAAACTTTTCAAGAAATGAGAAAACATTACCGCTGAGTCATGCTAGGTTTGACGAGAATATTGATGAATCCTTAATTTATAGATAATATTTATTAATTTTATATTTTTTGTTTTAAGAATGGATAAAAATATTTTTAATTTGTTTAAGAAACTATCTGAATTTTCTTTAATTGCATAAAAGAAGACAAAAAAGCCTCTATGAAATATTTTGAATTTCAAACTGTGATTCTCCATATTTATATCTATACATAGTCTTTATTCAAAAAATATATATAGTCATAGTCATAGTCATACTTTTTTTCCTTACATATGAGGATGAAAATTGAGATGGAAATTAAGGTTGGAAATATATACCAATTAAACTATGCTCGCTTTTAGTTATAATCATATACTTTTATCGAACGGACGGATAAAATCATATTTTGTAAAAATATATCATAATATATCCCACCACATATTCATATACCAAAATAAAATGGTCGGAGTTTGGCAATTGATATTACTTTATAGCGATCAACGCTAATTGGCACATCACCAATATGTCAAGAGTTCTCATCCCCACCCCTTCCCTTGTTGTTTTAAAATTAAAAAGAAAAAATATATATATTCAATATTACTTTATTTGAATTTTTTTAAAACTCAATTATTTCTGTTAATAGAAAATTGGTTAAGCCAAAGAAATACCTCTGTGAGCTGCTGAATCTTCAATTCAGTGGGAGATGGCGGTGCGTCAATTGGGTTCCCATCAGGGGTGACCGCCGCAGGAGCCAGTTGCTTCTTGAGCTCGTTAATTTCATTCTGAATCGTCCTCACTCGCCGCCATTGCCACCCCAAGTAGCCTGCCCACAGAGTGTACGCGAAAAGGGAGCCCATAACAATTGGGTGAATTAGGGCAACTGATCTCCCCTCCAAAATCCCGAACTCCCCGCCAACAGCAAGCGCATCCTACAACCCAACGAAAGAAATCGAATCGGAAACCAAAGACCGCACGAACACAAAACAGAATCGAGAGAAATAGAGAGAGATTCACCTGCGGATCGAGGAAGAAGGGCAATGCGAGAGCAGTGAGAGGGAGAGTACATGATTTGAGATCGCGAACGCTCCGAAGGAAGAAACTGTACGGGGATTTTTTAGGGTTTTGGGAGAAGTCGAGATTCGTGGGAATGGGGGGAAGCTTGGTGGTGGAATTGGGGGAAATATGGGGGAGTTTCGGGAGGGTGAGGGTGATGGCCATGGTCGGATTCTTGGTGTGGAAACAGAGAGAAGGATGGAGAAGAAAGGATAAGGGAAAAAGAGATTGAAGATTGGGTTTAGATTGATGTGGCAACATTTGGGCGTTGGCGACTGTATAAAGTGGACCAGGGCGCGCCGCTCTGTTCGGACCTACGCCCCCACGACAGCCCCATACACTTCTTATGAGTTGTGTGTAGTATAATCAAGTTTAAATACAAGTAGCTCTCATTAGAACTCACAAGTTTAATTATTGCTTTGCATAAAGTAATTTCGGTTTTTTGTTCAAATTTTTAAAATATCAATTTAGTTATTTGGTACTTGTTGGACGAAAAATTCAAATGAGAGAAAATTGAATTCTGAATTCATCTTCTGACGTATTGAAGAATCTTTAAAATCGCATGGCAGAGAAGATTCAGACTTAGTTCAAATTCTCTCTATTTATATAGTGTTAGTGGTTCTTATGTGGACTTGGTCCAATCTCATCTTGTGGGTTGATCCAATTAACTGATGTTATCGGACATAACATAATTTAATTCGTCAATGTGACACATGTAAGTTTTATATTGATTATAAATATAATTTTAAATTGATGACTAATCATTAGTCAAATTTTATTATTGAACCATACTTTTTACTTTCTTTTTTCATTTTAGTTTTTTTTTTTTACTTTTAAAACCTTTATTTTGATCTACAAAATGACTATTTTGATCTTTATTTTAAAWTTTTTAACACAAAAGGTGTAAAACTTTTTAATACAAATTTATCACTATATTTTATTGAAATAAATGAGATAACAAGAAAAATAAATTAATAAAATGGCCACTTTTTAAAATGAGGTAATATATGGGGTGGGATTATTGATTATATGTATTATATAACTTAAATTATTAAACTTTAGCCTTGTTTTTTTAATAGGCTTATATTCTTTTAAAGGTACAGCTACAAGGATCAAGAATAGTTTCTTCTTTTCGTAAATTCAACTATATATATGGGATGAGATTCAAATTTCTAACAATTTAATACTATTGAGTTAGGCTCAGATTGACATAAATACACGGATTAATAAACTAATATTAAACTCTTAATAAATATAGTATTTAAACTCGAAATTGCTAAAATTTAGGACAAATTTAAATTGTGCCTAAAAAATGAGGCACGTATATAAAAAGGTCAAATTTCAAAACATGACCTTTTAGAAACAAAAATTATTTCTATAAAAAATTACGTGTTCACAACACAACCATATTTAAAAATAAAAAAAAAACTTTATTAAATCTACATCATTCAAATATATTTTGTCCCATTATAAAAACAAATATATATTGTAAATTACCTAATGAAAAAATCTTCTACGCAATGCAAACTTTTTTTTTATTTTTTTTAATTATGCCACCGTACAGTACACATTAAATAAAACTTTGCATTTAAAACTATATGATTTACCTAATTTTCCAGCACGTCGATTCGCTGTATCGACGAAAACGAAATCGACGGCCTGGATTCCCTCACTGCGGCTGGGTATCTTTCGGCCACTGGGTCCCACTTCCCCCACGTGGGCCCAACTTCGAACCTTCCCTAGCGTACGCGGGGACGACACGATTTTATTTTTATTTTCTATTTTTAGTTTAAGTTTGACGAATTTAATTAAACTCAGTTTAGTTGATTCAAATTTTAATTATTTTTCCAATCATATACTTCCAATCTTCTAAAATTTAAATATTTACGTATACGTTTCAATCGTAACTTTAGTCTTTGTGATTTTATTACTTTCGGTCATCGTATTTGACACTCAATTATTTAATTAAACCATAATGTATAATATATGAAAATTTTATAATAGATTATTCCAGTATCTTTGCATATAAACAATAACATATCAAAATGTCACATCAGTTTCTTTTTTGTTAATTTTTAATGTAGTTAATTAGATAATCAATACTATAAGTTTTACAGATTATTAAGGCTTCAAGTTGTAAATTAGTTTACCTCTCTTTGTACTTATAAGATAAGATCGATAGAATAAGAGGATTGGGTTGTTATCTTAAATAAAAGCTAGGGAAAATCGTTTTAAAATCTTATGGTTCAATTAAAATTAGATATTGACTTTTTTTAATATCTTTTTTTAATTTGAATTATGGGTATTTTGGACTTCCTCAATAATAGGCTTTCTTTGTTGCTTATGCAAAAGAGGATACTTGATTAGGACACTAAAATATAGGATTACATTAAAATAATAATAATAAATGTAGTATTTATTATTTAGCTATATTTGTGCGTGTGATGATGATAAGTTTTGAGCTACATGCTTTGTATTTGATTCAAAAAATGTATTTATTTTTATTTGTTTATTAGTATTATTATTATTATTTTGCAAAACTTTCAATTTTGTTCCCTAATTATATTTAAAACCAAATAGTCCTAGTAATTAAGTTTAAAAAATTAGAGATCATAAATTCGAATCTCTGGTCCATACTTGTTGTACTAAAAAAAAGATAAAACAATAGTTGGATGACTTAAGATATGATATGATGATTTTCTATATACGAAATTATTCAATTTGAAGTATAAATCGAGGAGCTTGTAAGAGTAGAACAACGAACGAAGTTATGGTAGTATAGTTGGACATTCAAACAAGAAATGAATTTGGGATATTCTGGTCTTACATATTTGTCCCCATCCCAATCCTGTGATAATTTTACCAAGTTTTCTACCATTTCCTTTTTCAAAATGAATTTCTATCTAGATTTACCTTAATTGTAATGTTTTATTTTATTTTTATTTATATTTTATAACATTATAAATATAGAGGGAAGATTCACATTCAGACCTAAAAGAGAGGAATTTATACTTTTTTAAGTGCCGTTGGACATGGATAGAGTTACAATATGATTTCGAGGTGGTTTAAAATTAGTTTAAATTAAAGTAAGTTTGTTAGAGTGAGCATAACTTTCAATCCACACTCTCACATGAAAAAAAAATATAAATAAATGAAATAAGTTTAGTTATTTTAGATAAATAAATAAAAATTCAAGTATTAAGTATTTGTCCATAGTTCCGTTGAAGAAAGGAATATTTGGTAGAATTCTGAAAACGATTTGAGAGAGAAAAAAAAGGAAGAAGTAGCTAAATTATAAATTATTAGCTTCTAACTCCAAATAAGAAACATATAATACGTGACAATTTTTTTGTTTAATTGAGATTTTCTTGAGTCTGAAGGTACAAAGGTTTAATTTATTTACATCAATCATAATTGTGGATTTTATTTGATGAAGATGATTCTAAAAATATTCAGAAATTAAAAAATTGTAATTTATGGATATTATCCTTTTGATTAGAATAAAAATTTTCCTATTTTATTTTGATCAATGATTCACACCATCAGTGAGTCATATTAAAGTTGATTTTTCTCATCTTACTTTTAATTCATATTAAATTATTGTCTTAAGATATAAGATAAAGTGAATATGTACATTTAATTAAGTCAAGATCAATATTTAAATAGAAAACCTTATAATAGTAAAAATAATTAGTCCCGGTGATTTAAAAACCAAAAAAATTAAACAAATTGATTTCTTTTTTTCTTTTTTAAGTACAACAAATTGATTCTAATGTTGGTACAAGTGATTGGTACCAACCATAAATGAATTAATAAAAAAGTTGAGCTTCCAATCCATTAATTTATAGAGTTTTAGTTATAGTCCCTAATGCCTTTTCCAAAAAAGAGGAAAATAAAAGTTATGACCCTAGTAATCATTTCATGACATAGCCAAACATTACTTGTACCAAATTAAAAAAAGAAAAGAAAAAGACTCATCATTAAGCCCTGCTCTAAACAACCTCCATCTAAAAAATCTCAATTAGTTGCATAATAGTTTATTTTCTTCTTCATAGTATTAGTTTTAATTTGATTTTCAGAGTGTTAAATCTTAATAATCATCGCTCAATCAAAAAGCTTAAGCGGATGGGTTTACTTCCTACTCAATCAAATATTATATATTATTTATATAGTTATTAAATATGTRACATTTTTTAATTTTATGTAGCAATGAGCATGTATATATATTTTTGACCAATACTACTTTTCTTAACGGTAATTGACATATTCTTCAAATCAAGAGATTGTGACTTTGAATCCCCTCCCAAACATGATAAAGATGAGTTTTTCTTTTCTTTTTTAACTACAACATGTGGGGTGGAGATTCAAACTAAACTAAACTCACTTTCGCATGTTTGTTAATTATATTAGAACTTTGAATTGATTAAATAAATAATGGGAATAAATTAGAACTAAGCCCAAGTAGAAGAACTAAATTAAAAATTATAAGATTGTAAGGGCCAAATTGATAATTTAACATTTTTTTAATAATCAAATTGAACATTTATGAAAAAGGTTGTCAAGAATTTACATTTGCTCAGATTATGGAGAGTTTCCAGTGAATTTAGACGAATGTTATATCATCAAAATATTCATTACCATATATATTTTCAATGTACAATAATTATACGTATTTATTATTTTTTTTATTTCTTTAAAGTTTAAACGTACAATAGTTGAATTGCACCAAAAAAATCCACGCTGTAATTTGTTGAACTTAAAAAGAAAAATTTGTCATAGAAGAACAATTTCAGTTTTTTTCTTTTTTTGAAACTCAAGACCAATTTCAATTTGAACATATATAACTGAGTCATTGACATATAACCCAAAAACTATATATAATAATAAAATAAAGGTGACATCATCCCTAAAAAGTATTAAAAAGAAAAAAAAAAGAACCATTGATTTAATTTGAAAGTTGAATCACAACTTAGGAAAGGATAAAAATCAAGCGTCAAAATTCAAATCTTATAATATTTTTCCCCACCTTTAATTCATTCGATTTTTTTTTCGAAATGCTTTAATTCATTCAATTTTAATCCATATAAACTTTCAAAAACAATTTGTAATTATCTTAACTTTCCATGAGTAGAAAATCTTCGTTATTAATTGTTTATATAAATAATTTAAGAGAACCCTAATATTGACACATTTTTATTTATCAATAACATGCATGTATTTGACTAGTAAATTAGACAATCTATTTAAAAAAAAAGGCCTTAGAATTGGTTATTAGACGATTAATAGAAAATTAGCAAGGACACCTTAAAAAATTTAGAATAATACGAAAAACAAATGAGGTAAGTACATTTAATAATATATTTATAAACTAGTGCTATACGTGTATTTTAAAATTTCAAATTAAAAATCTGAAAACATAATCCAAAAATAATTTGAAGAAAAATATGGATTTCTTATTTATACAAAACCTAAAAGTGGATGGATAAAAAAAAAAAAGTGATAAAATATGAAAGATTAGGAATCCTCAAATGCAGGAGACAAAGGCATGTTTTTGGCATAATTTTAGGGGGAAAAGGAGATTTATTAGCTAATAAGAGAGAGATAGGTTGTGTTGTGCGCCGGAAGGGAATTGGAATTGGCATTTGAGAATTGAAGAGGCGAAATACCCAAAGGCCAAAGCAGCAAAAGAAAATCAGAAAAAGAAAAGAAAAAATTAATTAATTAATTTCTTTTTGGGTGAATGATATCTGGCTGGAAAGTAGCTGCCAACGACACAGAGAAGTATAACAACAAAACAACACACTTTTATTTATCCCTCTCGCTCCTCAGACTTGACCTTGACCCTCTCCCTCTCTCTCTAACCTGGGGTTTTGCCTTGGCCCTTCACCTTCACCTTCACCTTCACCTTCACCCCATAAAATATGTTGTTTCTTTCTATGGAAACAGGGGCAACCATTCAATTTTCTTTTCTCCTCTGTCTTTAGATTTCTGGGGATTGCTTTTTTTGGGGGCCGGGCCATGGAGTTGTTTTTCAGGTTGTTTTGTTTAATCCTCATCGGAATTTGTTTCACTTGGTTGTTGCGGATTGTTCTATTCAGGACGGGGTTGATTTTCCTGGTCAAAAAATGGTGGAGAAATCTACAAGATTGTTTCCATGTTTACCAGTCTTTGAGAATCCCGGAATTCAATGAGAGCTCCCAGAGGAATCTCTTGTATTGGAAAGTCTCTGCCTATCTCAGTTCCTTGTCCTCTCTCGAGGATTCCGATTTCACCAATCTCGTCACCGGGAAGAAGCCGAATGACATCCTTCTCCGATTGGATTCGAATCAGACCGTCGTGGACGAATTTTTGGGGGCCAGATTGCTGTGGACGAATGAAGAAAACGGTAGCAGGAATTTTGTGTTGAAAATTAGAAGGGCTGATAAGCGACGAATCCTCCGCCCCTATCTTCAGCACATTCATGCACTAACCGCGGATGAGATTGAGCACAACAAGGGGGATTTGAGGCTTTTTATGAATTCGAAATTCAACAATCAATCGCATACAAGGTGGAAGTCAATCCAATTCAACCATCCCTCCACCTTTGAATCGATTTCCATGGAGCCAGATCTCAAAGAAAAGGTCAAATCCGATCTCGAATCGTTTCTCAAATCAAAACAATATTACCACAAATTAGGCAGAGTATGGAAACGGAGTTACCTTCTATATGGCCCTTCCGGAACCGGAAAATCGAGCTTTGTTGCCGCCATGGCGAATTTCCTCTCCTACGACGTTTACGACATCGACCTATTCAAAGTCTCCGATGAATCTGATCTCAAGCTTCTTCTGCTGCAGACCACCAGCAAGTCGATAATCGTCGTCGAGGATCTCGATCGGTTTCTGATCGAGAAGTCGCCGGCGTTGAGTCTATCGGCGTTGCTGAACTTCATG